TTTTTTTAATCATAATAGTTTTGAATGTTCTCCTCAGTAACTTATTAATGATCCGCTGTTTGGCATCAAGTGTTCATCACTTCTGACCATAAAGAAAAGTTAACCTGGTTTCTTCTTCAATTTTCAGTCAGGAGCAAAAATCAGCTTATAAACTTGAAGAAATAACAATTTGACATTTATCGTGATAATTATCGGTATCGAATGATATAAAAGTTTTTATCATGATAACATTTTTGGCCATGTCGCCCAGCCATACATTGCACTTTTCATATACATTTTAAATTTTTTTATATCATGGAAAAGTTCATTTTCTTCCATAATTAACTTTCATAAATTCAACTCTTGAAACTATTAGAATTCTAAAATATTTTATAATACAGAAATATCGACCTGAGAAGAGCTCTAATCAGCTAATTAACTGAAAACACCTGCAAAAAATTCATGAGCCTTTACTGTTAGTCTGGTTGCAAGGTAAATGTTCTGTGTTTGTATTTAGCGCCTTTCTAGTCTTCACTGACAACTCAAAGCGCTTTTAGACTATGTCACATTCGCCTACTGGGAACTACTCATCCGAACAGAAGTTAACTTTGACACACTGTTGGAATTTTTGGGTTCAGTATCTAGACAAAATAATAAATATGGGAAAGAATACAGAAATTAATTTCTGCCTACCATCTTTAATTGGATTATGAACATTGAGAAACAGGTTATAATTTTTTTCATTATCATGCAGTGGATGAAATACATTTCATTTTATACATCATCTAAATAGTCAAGAGACTTTAACTTCAGAGCAGCAGGAAGCTTTGTTGAACGGCCTCTTGGGTTTATATTTTTAGAAAATTAGATGCTTGGCTCACGAGAGGCCCAAACTGGGGCTAGTTGTACCCTGTCTCAGAGGGGTTATTAGAATATTTTATAGAGAATCTGTTTATTTGGAAACTGAATGTAAAATGACATTTGTAACCAAACTGTTGTATATTCATTTGTGAGATTAGGCGGTGTGATTTAAACCTCACAGACACACAATATATATATAACTATAATAAAAGTGGGTTGTACAATGACTGCTGTGATGAAGGACTTTCTGCTTTGTGAGCCGGTGAAGTCTATTAAAATGCTACGAAATGACAACAGACGTGTCGTCTCAGTTCCTCCACCTGCAGACAATAAATAAAATCCAGAGTTTTATTTCTCACATTTCAAGTTTTATTGCTTTTTCAGAAAAAAAATATCAGCAGTACTGAAAGTAAACAAAGCAGCGCAGAACAAGTCTTAGCACTTTGTGAGCATGTAAATACTCTTATGAATGATTCATAAGGCAAAAAACACAAACACCAAAACATCTTCTCCACAGCTGCTTCCACACACGCTGACCTTTGACCTTTCTGGGAAAGGTCCAGTCTGTTGCTGCTGCTGTTTTACACTCGCCCCGAGCAGCTAACTGTAACTCAATCCAGCCTACAATCTACAATCTATGTTAGTGACCCTACAGCAGCGGTACAGTATATAACACTACAGTCCAACCTATTACATAGTTTTCTTTTTTAACATAAAACACAAGTAGCCTTCACTGAAGTCATCATAGCTCCTCCCGAACAGAAGACGTTTCACTCCTGGAAAGACGCGCAGCAGAGGGATTGTTTATTTTAAAGAGCGTCTCCACAGGAAAAACTAAAAGGTGCCTCCTCTCCTGGTCTGCTACACTGATACTGAAACAACACTAAAAGGCTCAAATTTCCTCACATGATATATCAAAGTTGTGGACAGGACGAATAAACTTATCTATTCACCAATAGCGCAGCTAGAATTGTAAAGTTTGTCCTGAGGGTGGCGCTAAAGGAAAAGTCATGGGGTCATTAAAATCTTCTGTAGGTCATGAATCTGATCAGTACGTTTTATAAAATCTGCTTGTTAGATCAAAATTTGCCAGAACGCCAGAAAGCTCGAGGTGAATCATACAGAGAATGAGCCGTACAACCAAAACAAGGGAGTTAAATGAGTCTTAAAACACTACACAGAGCTGCAGAGATGGTGACGCATCTCTTAAGTACTAACAAGCGACTCCTCTCTCATTTCATTCATTATTTACACAGTAGCATGTTATTTAAGGCAGCTTTAAGAACTGATGGCCACAAGATGTTGGCATGTGCTCCATTCAGAAAGGTCCCCCCCCACACACACACAACTTTAATGAGTAATTTACGTTGTTTTCTAAGACATGTGTCATAGTGATATAAAAACACAGTTCATTAAAACCCTAAGGCTTACAGAGGGGTGTTTTAACATATGCGTGTCTGAATCTACTATTATTTTCATCAACAGCAGATTATTTTCTCGCTTTTTTTGTCAAATGCAACTGCGGAGAGATATATAAACCATCAAGTGATAATGTGTATTTCATGAGGACAAAGGAACAGACCGACTGTGCTGCCCCAACGAAAAGTGCCCCTCCAGTGTTCAGAAAGACACGCCCTTAAGGTGTGTTTAAACTAAACATCACGCAAATATTCACTTTGGTTGTGGCGTGTTTAGAAAACTGTGTTTAACAATCGATGAACGTGAAGGTGCCAACTGCTACGGCTCAGTCCGATGTTAAAACTAAAACAGGAACTCTACCTGTTTCTCTAGTTTCCCTTTTTGTTGGTTGACCCAACTCACACTTGGTCACCTCATGTGTCTTGGACGGATCAGACAGTGGTCAGATATCTAGAAAGCAAACTGTAAATGCATCCATGAAGCATTCAAGACGGACTGAAATCCACCTCGGGAGCCCATGAAGACGATAAAGCTTCTGTCTCGCTCGTAGTTCATAAATACGATTCATTCGTGTGTTTGAGCTGGAGAGTTGCTAACTGGTAATTGTGGTAACTAAAATGCTAAAGTGCGCACGGTTATATTGTGCAGTACCAGCTACTACCAGGGCCGGCTGATTTGCATGAAGCCGGGAAAAAACACATCACATTTGGGATCTGACCAACAAATATGTGGCATATAAGTGTAAAAAAAAGAAACCCTGACATTAAGTAGTACAGCTACAGCTTTAGGATAACCGCAGATTCTTTACTGAAAGTTCAAAATCTATTACCTAGAGTGGAAGCGTATCTTCTCAACGTCAACCAACATCTGTTAGTGTCTTTTGTATGTAGTTATGTCGTGTCTAAAATTTGCTTTGTGTTTAGTCTTAACACACCTTTTAAGCAAAAAAAAAAAAAAAAAAGAGCAAAAACACTTGGTAAAGGAAAAGAAAGCAGGTGAGGAGGTGTGACATGCAGCACAAGTCCAGTAAGTGAGTTCAAGGTAAGTGCGAGTGCTGAAAGGAAGTCCTGCTAACAAACAAACAAACAAAAACTCTGACTGTGCAGAGCTGGTAAACAAACATCCCAAAGTAGCCGTAGCAAACGTATCTATCCGTTTCATCGCTGCAGCTCCCGGTGAGAGCGGCGCGTGTGATGAACACACAGTACCGTTAAATGTTTGGGAGATGCAGGACAGGAAGAAACGAGCAGCTCAGAGGAGGATTAAAGATGGAGGCGGAGGACGTTTCCACTTTCACAGCAGCAGCTTGGGTCCCCCTCCGAAGTCTAACCTCTTCACCAGCCTGTAAAACACAACAAGCACACTCAGCCTGTTTCACCCACCAACTGCTGGACAGGTGAAATCTGCAGCAAAATCTGGGATTTTTAATCTCCTCCAGCTTCTGTCTATCTGGACAGTTGTTTTCAATATTTTCTTCATTTCACAGACCAATAAGAGGTAATACGACCTTGCTGGATTACAGTACTAGTCTGGACATGAGATCAGCAGCTGTTTACCTGCTGTACAGGTACAGAGCATCTCACCCCTTGTTGTAGAAGCCATTAGTAGGATGGGTCTCGGAGGAGTTGTTCTGGCCCGACGCCGCCCCCTGTCCACCAGCGTGGCCTCTGCGGTTCGCTGTCTGCTCGTGGACGTATTCCCGACAGGACGCTAGCTTAGACTCCAGGTTCTATAAGCAGTGCAGAAAACAATATAATGCTCATTATAAACAAAGAACAAACTGTGTTAAATGAGCGAAAGTTGAGGTTGAGATCTTTAGCAGCTGTGGGGAAGTAAATGTAACAACTGGCCATGTTGTGGAAGTGTTACAGGGTTTATTTGTGTGAGGACGGTGTCAGCAGAGAGGTCATCATGTGAAGTCATGTGAGAGCTGCAACAAATACGGTCTTTATTTTTTCCTGAACATTTAGACACTGGCTGTCATTTCAGTTTAGATATCCTCAATGTGTCCAGTCAATAAATGCAAAGTAGCGCTAAACACACACAAAGTACCGAGGAGGACTGCCTGTCATTACTTTATGAAGACCATAAATGTTTACACTAAAATACATCCAATAGTTATCTAGACACTTCACTCTGAACCACAATGCGCTGGAGGCAATGTCAGGCTAACAAAGTCATTAGGATCGACCCTCCGCAGACCATGAACTTCAGCACAAAATTTAAAAAGTTGTCAGTGTTGTACTCATCTATTTGGGATCAATTATTGATTGGGTGTTTTGTGTTTATTTGTACATGATGTTGCTTCTAAAAAAAAAAAAAAACAATAAACTCCTGAGAAGAAAGTAGTTTGTGTGCATTTGAGAGTAAAAGCAGAAGCACCCTGCAGCATCACATGGTTACAAATCAGCAGCTGAGTCACGAAACACTGAGTTCTCTTTTGATCCTTTGAGTCCCGGGTCAATAATCACAAGTGCGGTTCTTACCCCGACTTTTCTCAGCAGCTCTCCAACAATGTTCAGAGCCGAGATCCTGGCCGACGTGGTGAGGGGAGTCCCAGGGAGGCTTTCACCTGCAGAAACAATCAATCTGGTGAATGCAGAGATATCCATCTTTCTAATGATTCCAATCCTTATATTTAAGAAGCTGAAAAAACAAGAATGTTTGGGATCTTTGTTTGATCATTTACTTTAAAACTGCTGTCAAAACTGCTAATTGATTAGTTGGCCCGTGGTGTTTCAGTACTTTGTTTAAAATCAGACCTCAGTTTTCTGGCTTCCTAGTCCATCATTTTGCCTGATCATTTATTTATTTATTTGATTTGACACAATGGGAGAAAAGAATCAACATCTGACAAATCTTCACAGCAGTTTTACAGTTTGTTTTTTCTTTAAATACACAATGGCTTATCTGCAGCACAGTCAGCAGTTTTTCTCTTCACTTTCAGCCTGTACAGATATTCTTTTCCACTGGAGCAGTTTGTTTACAGACAGTTATGTGCTAAACACTGACTTTTTGAGGCATTGGGAGTATTTTTTGGAAATTGGTTAAAAGCGTTATAAACAAAGTTCCCAGAAGTATGTTCTTTTAGGCCCTGATCAGACAGAATGTGTTTTTTGCAGTGAGAGGCGCCTTTTTAAAAAACTTCTTCTATTGGCAGTGAGCGTTCTGCGTGCTGTTTACGCCCCCAGAGTGCCTCGCTTTTTGGGGACCTGCTGCGCCTTGTGTTTTCGAAGGAGCACTCTGAGCGCTCGAAGTAGAAAAAGCAGAAGAGAGCCCGACGTCATTCCCGTTTTTTTTCCATGGTCCAATCGGATGAATGGAGAGACGGGCCCTCAGTTGTGGTGACTGAAGTTTACAGTTGCTTGGATTATCTGGAGACTCCAACAAAGTGTCCCTGACTCATCCTAAAATACGCCTTGAACCGACCACCATTAGGACGAATCTACTGGACCAACTGGTGGTACTACCAGCTTATGTACCCACACGGATCTCCATTTCCCTGTCTCCCCTGTTCACCTCTCAGCCAGAGCAGGTGCCCTCCTTTTGTCTATTGTTTTTAAAGCAGAAGAAAGAATTTAAAGAAGAAGAAGAAGAAGATATACTTTATTAATCCCGCAAGGGGAAACTCCTATGTCAGTATTATGTTAGTATTTACACACAGGTCCGAAAGACACATATGCACAAACAGGACCCATAGCAACCCAGAGAGATGTCAGAGTGAGGGGGCTGCCACTCAGATCTCTCGATCCGGAGACCCACCAGTTTCCAAGCCAAGTCCCAACAGACCGAGCTAACACCGGCCCAAAAAAGACAGACCTGTGAGTTGTGATCAAGTTTCTGCTAATATGACCGTTATTACTTAGTGGCAAACCAAAGATTACAGATCGCCTGAGCTATCTTTGATTTGACTGACAGGACAGCTGATTCGGTGGTTGCCTAGCAACATAAATAACAACGCAGCGCACTGCTCTTTTCCAAATTCAACCAAAAAAGGCACTGCTGCGCGCCTCGCGTTTTCAAACCTGCAAAACGCATTCTGTCTGATCGGGGCCTAAGTGTGCAAGATCATTAACATTTGAAAAATCAGACGAGGTTTAAAGAATTTGAGGTTAAGTTTCAATTATGAAGATTGATTCAAAGATTCAATGGAGAATAAAAAAGGAATGGGTTTATATCAATCTAGCAAAAATAATGCATGATAATGAAGTGGGTTGAATCTTGAATCTTGAATAAAAATATGTTTATAATATTGTTGGTAAAAACAAACAAAAAAAATCAATGAATTAATAATGCACCAACTCTTAATTGACATTTAGCTACCTTAATAAAGATGTGATACTTCTAAATCCTTGCTGCATACAACCTTCAACCAGCAACCTTCAGCACTAAGACACAATAGCCTGTAGCATTTTGACTGATAAGCAAACCCCAGGGCAAAATGTCTGCAAATCACTTGCTACTGCTCATTACTGCGATTAATTGCTGTGAGCCTGGTAATGATTAAAGGCAAGTCATATGAAGGTATCAATATTTTTGTTAAATAAGAGCTCCTCTCGTCTGGATTTTAGCAGCAGGAGTGTAAGTGGACATGCATGCATTGGATACTGGTGGTGATGAACCGACCTCTGCTGATGGGGGTCAGTGGAGTGGTGAAGGACTCTGCTGAGCCTGGAGGTCTTCGTGGTGTGGCGGCAGATGGGACCGGCTGGTTAGAGGACGCAGGAGTGTTTTTTTCCTCGGTTCTTTTGACTGGAGGGGTGAGGGGCGGGGTGGGAAAACCAGCCGAAGACGAAGACGAAGGCTCTTTGACTGCACTGCTGAGGGACGGCTTCCTGTCCTGTACCTGCTGTTTCTGCTGCACCGCGAGTTCCTGTCTCAGGTCTGACACACACACCAACAAACATTAGGGGCCAGTTACAGACGTGCAACAGAGACTTTAAAATAATGGCTTTCAGCAGCCATGCAGAACATGAAGTAAGGCCTCAAAACAACCAGCTTATTCACTGTGGGTGTAGTCTAACTCTTTAGATAAGCACATTATGAGAGCATTGAAAACACATCTTTAACAATGCTTTTATAAGCTATTGATTGAATTCTTTTTCTTCCTGAAACTTTTATTTTTCCCTGAATGTAAAAATTTTAAATACCATGAATTAGCTGACTGCACTTTAAAAACTTATATCATGTCATCTCAACACACACTTTTTGCATTGGGAACTGGTGATTTCACCACCGAAATATCTGCTGAGGTTTGTTTTTTAAAATCATATCCCACAGCCAGTTAAAATCTGTGCCTCCACGACAGCACAAGTTTGCAAAACTAGTTTAACTGACGGCAGGTCAATGAATATGTACCTCTGGCCTCGTCCTTCAGCCTCTGGACAGACTCCAGGAGATTCTCCTTCTCGTCCAGCTCGCTCTCCAGGAAGGCGTTCCTCTCTATAACCTGGTTCATCCTCTGCTCAAAGTCCTCCAGTGACATGATGGTTGCCCTGAATAACACACAGCGTAAAACAGATCATGAGGCTCGGGAGACTCCAGGAACTGCTACCACTTGTGAGTGCTGAGTGTCACGTATCTGACGAAGGCAGCCTAAACCTTTAGGAACGTCCTTATAGGCGAGTCATGCCACTCGGCAGCCATCTTGGCAACACCACCAGGCAACAATTTGGGACTAACAATTCCTATCTGAATGAATGGGGAGAGAAACAGAACTGCAGTTTTACTGGACACCGGGACAAATAAACTAGATGAATAGAATCACCAGTAAAATCTAATAGAAATCGCTGAAAAAGTTTGACAACTTTGCCTCAAAATAAGGTTTAAAAGGCATTTTTCCTCGACAGGTTATACTACTGTGCATGCATAGTAGTAGTGACGCACGCGCAGTAAACCCCTTACGTAAGTGGAACCACATGATTGGCTGAAATATGTTTCCCGCCTCAGCTGTTAAAAGAAGACGATTTGCTTTCTAGGGGGAGAGGCGGTACAAGCGCAATCTTTGGCGTTACGGGCTTTCCCTATGGAGTTATATTGAGGATTCTTAAAGTGGCATGTCTCCTCTATATAACATCTCTGGCCATAGCTAGGCTACTTTTCTGCAGAATGGCTGGCTAGGTTACTTGTAAATGTTACAAGTAAGTAAGGCAGCTGCTGGAGAAGCAGATTGCAAATCTGTCCTTTAAAGTAATAAATGTATTAACAATCAACACGCTAAGGTTTGTTAAACATTCAATTAAGGTTTGCAAATATGGCTATAATAGGTTTAATCAGATTGTGAAAGCTACATGGATTTCTTCAACAGATAGGTTAATTGATTTCATTAGTACAGTTGCGCAATCACATCATCTTAACTTCGTTACTGTGTTAAAGGATCATTTTGGTATTTTTAAACCTGGGCCATATCCGGCTAGTACGTACAAAAGCTTACCAATCCGTACAGTAGCTGCTTCAGCCGGCAGCCACAAACCAGCTGCAGTGGCAGCAACGAATTCCTTTGGGGCAATTGCTCAGACTGTTAACCAGGTGACAACTTCATGGAAAGGATCCCTACAAGTGACTCCTGGAAACACCCTTTGTTTTTAACAGGAAACTGCAGTCTCACGTAAGGACAGCTCTCACGCTGAAATCTCATGAGAACTGTCCTTGAGTGAGACTTCAGTTTGCTGTTAAAAACAAAGGGTGTCACTGGGAGTAACTCGTAGGGATCCATGATGTTGTCAGACACCCGGTGTAACAGCTGGTGTTTGTGGACGTCATTTTGATGGGCCCAAAGAAATACGTTGCAGCCACTGCAGCCGGTTCAGCTGCTGGCTGAAGCCCTCTACTGCACGGATTCCAAAACTATTTGTACTTTCTAGTCATTTCTACCTCAAAATATGTGAAAATAGTGGCCCCAGGTTTAAAAATACAGAAATTATCCTTTAAGTTGTCTTCCATCATCTCTGTGTGAGCGCCCTCTGACCTCTTGGTCCTCTCCAGGTCATCGTTGGCCTGCTCCAGCTCTCTGATGTATTTGTGAAGCTGGTCTCTGATGGCTGTGGTCTCAGCCAGGTCTCCCTCCAGGCTGGAGATCTGCCGGAAGGCCTCCGAGTGCTGAGTCTCATACTTCTCCTGTCAGGAGGTCGACCACAGTGTCAGGAGAGGAAAGAATATGAAACAAAAAAGGATAGATTACAAAGGTGGGGGGGGAACTTCCACTTCAAATTATAACTGCTAAATGGATATTTGATAGAACTATTTAAATATTTCAATCATTTGAGGCAATTTAATTTAACAAAAAACAAACACTTTAGTATATCCGGCTAATGAAAGCTTAACATTAACTCTTCTTAAAACCTGAAGGCTTATAGTGCCTTACCAGGAAAACACTTTTGGTGCCCAAACATCATGTGTTTTATACATCTAGCTTTGTAGCACTGACAGAATATTTAACATCAACACATAATGAAAACATGGATGACAACTTCAGGAGGCTCAATACCATTCACAGACCCTGTGAGGATTCATCGTAACCGTGTTGCTGGTAGTGTTTTTTAATCACAAGCTGCATATTTCTACACATTACTTGTCCATGAAGTGTCTGCATACTGGTCATACAGATAAACCTTTCCCCCCCTTTTCACCTTAACACAGGTAAACACTGTCATATTTCTTATTAATAGTTTGTCCACGTATCTAAACTGAATTTAATTTTATGTATGAGTGAATATTTTCCCATTTCCTCCTTAGACCTGACACCAAAAACTAAATAAAATATGTAAAATCTGTTCATTTATTTAACATTAAATCACAGAGGAGCTTTCTCTCTGGCGCACAGTAATAAATATAATGAATACAAATGTCATTAGCGAGAGAGAGATTACGAAGGTTACTGTATTTATTCCAACTTAGATTACTGTTTATGAAACAAAACATTTTGATTCTTTTGATCAGTGTGTTCTTAAGGACTAAAGGAATATAAATAATCAAGGAACGGACACATATTCAGACTTTATGACCTCTTCAAAAAGTAGTGAGTTACCATGTCTTTTTCATCTCTCTTGTTTACCATGCCGGTAAGTCTGAATGAATTATACTCTGGTGCTCATGGTTCCCGTAAAATTAACTGTACTGAACTGAAGAGACTCTAACCAATCTAACAACGTGTAGCATGTCCATATTGACTTAAGTTTGATTAACATTTATATTTGTATGCACAATCTAAGCAGCTCAGCTGAAGCAGGCGACCCGGTGGGCTTTAAAAGGTTTTATACATCCAAAGAACTTCTATAAAAAACAAACAAGGCTTCTAATCGAGACCTGCGTTTATCTGTGAAAACATGTAGCCACACAGGGTCAGTAAAAGAGCCAGGTGTCTAATTTGGACTAGGCTTTGTTAATTAAGTTTTACAGTATCTATTATTGTGAGAAAATCTGTCAAGCTCCTGTTGAACAACCAATGACGTCTTTCTTTATTCCACCACATTTGCACCTATCTTTGGGGGGCAACTGTTACGACTGAATCCTTGTCATGCAAACTTTCAGTGCTTTGACTTTAAAGCGCAGAACATGCGATAAGCGGCTGGTTACAGAAACTGAAAAGTGCACAACCACGTGTTAGGATGGATTGTGGATCGGGGGCGACAAACACAATGACCTCACTTACAGCCTTGCACCCGGCACCCGGCACCAGACTGCAACCGGTCTCCACATCTTCTTTTTAAGTTTAAAGTGTTTTTGTGTTTCTATTGCTGTTTGTTTTGCCTGTGCACATCCCTCTTGTGACCTCAGTAATGTGGAAAAATTGATGTTTTTTTTAAAAGGGAGAAAAGCAGGCGAGGGAACTATGACATGTCTGGGATAGGTCTCATGGGAAGTACCGACATCCCCGCCAGACAAAGGCCAAACAAGAGCCCTCAGCTGCCTTCTTCTGCCCTGAATCAATCCTCTGTGAAAGTGTGTGTGTGTTCAGACAAGAGCACCAGTGAAGTCTATTCAGCACAGGCCATAAAACTAAACTTACTATCAGCTGATGGATATGGAAATCCACAGTCAAATCCCCTAAATGGGTCAGTTGGTTGAATGTTAAGACATGATACTATGATACCGCAGCTTTATGCTTCAGTGTTGGCTATAAAACCATGTAGACACAATGACTCACATAACAGAACCTTTTTTTCCTGCATATTACTTCTAAACGTCCTCTAGTTAACCAGTATCTGATAACCGATAAAGTCCTCTGCACCTTGTAGTTTTCCAGTTCCATGCGGAGGCGGTTGTTGGCAGCAAGAAGCTCACGGTTTCGTGCCTCACACTGTTTCAGCTCCGTCTCCAGCTCCACCTCATAGTCCCGACTCATCTGCTGAAACTCCTGCAGTTCCTCCTGGGCCTCCTCTGCACTGCATACATAATGAATAATAATAATATAGAATATTAGCTATGTGTTTGTTACCTCTGGATATTATCGCAGCAAATCATTTGAACCATCATTCAGTTTGGTTTATTGGTTTGGATTCAAATTTCAGCATAACAATTGGACCAAGATGTCTAAGAGAAGGTTTTGCCAGGATAATTCTAAACCAGATAAGTTTGGACAATCAACATAACCTGATAATTTTCCCACCTAACCTCAGAAAGCTCTGGGCACTATGGATTAAACTCGAAAGTCTAAACATCACAGAAATGTGTTTAATAGGAAAACACTCTGAGGTTCACATTTGTTTGTGCTACAGGAGTGTCTACAGACTCACATTTCTATAAACTGAACTGGAGAGCAGCGAATAGGTATTGATTGTATTTTCAGAATTTATTACGGAGCCCCAGAAGTCCTGAAACATGATTTTATTTATGTTGTATAAAAAAACAATACTGCAGGCAAACTAACCAAGAAATCTACTCTGTGCACATGGTCCAGCTTTATTTTATTTTGGGGGGTACACACACCTCTGTTGGTGCCTGGCAGCCTGTTCCTTCCAGTACTCCAGCTCTTCCTCCAGGGACCCAAACACTGGAGGCTCCGGATCTCCCATCTCCAGTTGTCACACACCAACACTGGTCTGTGGTTCAATTCAAACAAGGCATTTAAACAAGTTCCGGTGGACAGAAAGTCCGTTTACAAATTGTCTAATTTAACATCAACGTTGTACCGGTTAATGGGAAATCAAAAGTTATTATAGGAAATGAATTTCAGACTATCTATCAGGATTTTCACGTTAATTCGGCAGCTGAGTAAACCATCAAGTATCACTATGTTTCAGATAAAAAATCTTTTAGATTTTGGTCGTCACCGTCCTCAGTCGTGTCAACGGTGTGCTTAACGTTAGGTTCAAGCTAGTTAGTTTTAACCAAGCTATAGTAAATAAAGTTTCTTTCAATACTGGTTGTATGCCGAATTGAAGAATATATTATATCGAATCATAACACATATTTAAATAACTTAAGTCAGTGCAATAAATCTAATTAAGCCACTCATGACTTAAATTGGTTACAAGATTTATACGGAGTCTGGTCACAGCCAGCTGAACAACGGGAATCTAAAAGATAACGGGTAACCTTATTATGTTTATTATTAGTAACACCTGCTTTTATAAATATTGCAGAGGACTGACTGAAACTATTACCTTCAAACCTTCGGCAACTTAGTATAACAGAGTTGGAAGAATGTTTTTAGCTTGTAAATGCAAATAAGTTAGCTAGTTCAGCTAACGGAGTTTAGCGTTAACCATTTAAATCCCAGCTGGGATAACGTTTAACACAACATGACTGTTACTTACGCTCAACAGTTAGCTTCGTTTGACGCAATGTTAACCTATTAATTATTTTTCTAAATCCTCTTCACGTGCCGACATTACTACCGACAAACTTTGCCGGTAAAATGTAAAAGCGAAACGATGAAAGACAACTATTAAAGGACTTTCCCCGAGTTGGAAACCGCAAAGTTGCCACTGTCTTGGGAAGACGTCGAACAATACAAGTTGCCATTCATGTTCTCTCCGGACCGCCTCACCAATCACAAGTTAGATGATAGATTCGTCGCCTGTTCCTATTGGTCAAGTGGTTGTCAATCAAATATTTAGAGGCGGGATGAGGAGTATTGTCCAATCAGATTGATGTCAGTCTAAAAGGGGGTCTGCATCATCTGCACAGTCTAGACATTTTGATGGAGTGCCTTAGGCCGGTGCTGCCTTCAAGTGCTGTCGGAAATTTTACAAAAAGTAAGCGCCTCATTAGATAATAACGTCTGATATGAGGGTTTACAGTTACTTTTATCGTCAGCTCCGTCTACAGCTAATGATTGAGGTAATATTTTGTAAATTCTGATGTATGTTGCCACAAGTGCCTGGTATTGCCTTTAATTTCCTATCATAACCATTTGAATGTAGGATGTCCCTTTATTTTCAAGGGAGGCTTTGAATGCAGCATGATATTGCTGATATGTGTGACAGCCCATTTTTAATTATAAAATCAAAATGTTGGTGATTCAATAATGGTATAAGTCAAAATAAAATGGAAATAGAAAATAGAAAAACTGACTTAATGATATGATATGATATGATATGATATGATAGTCATGATGGCAAGTTAAATTTCAAAAAAATTATAGGACAGCCTACCAGGACAAAATTATGAGATAGTAAATACTTTGACTTAGTATCTGGACATGATTCATATTTGTAATCTTGATTTTGTTGTATTTTGTACATTCATTTCCCTTTTTGGAAATAATGCAAATTCTTATTCTATCTTTCAGTGTTGTGTAACACTCAAATACTAAATACCAATTTGTTTATCTAGGCTACAACACTACTGTTAGTGTTCTGATTGTATTTCCAGTGCTGCCATTTTTGATTGTTGAATAGAGAGAATGTAAACTTAAAAAATATGTTCTTCTGCATTGAAGTCACTGTTTTACTCAGATAAAGTAACAGGAGACAGGAAACAGACACTGTTATAATTTATACTCCCACATAACATGAACTCATCTGAAGCCTTTAATTCTCTTTAATTCTCATTTTTATTATTCTCAATTCTTAGACTTAAATATGGGAAACGTCTGTGGCATTTCAAGTCCTCTGCTTCCTGCTCTGCATCTGGCCACTTAATAGTAGCCATGTTTCTAAGGGTTACAGAAGGAGAGCGTGTTAAACTAATGTCTGAGTGTGCCACTTGACGGCATCCTTGATTCTGATTGGTGAATTTCACTTCCTGTTGGTGGGGTCAGAGGTCACACAGCGGCAACTCTGTCCTATTCAGAGGGATTAACCGGGCCTATGTGATCCTCGTTAATCCACACGCACCATCACTAGAGCATAAAGCCGTTGTACACACACTCCAATCCTCTCTGTCCGTGCTTCATATCTGGGCTACATGTTTTCCGAAAGTCTGGTCTACACTGACAGCAGATTACTGGGACCCTCAGGGACTTCTGAGGGAATTTAGTTAATGGAATAGTTCAATATTTTGAGAAATATGATTTACTTTCTTTCCGAGAGTGAAATAAGATTGACATCAATCTCACGTTTGTGTGTTAAGTACAGGACGTGGTTAGCTTAGCTTAGCATAAAGACTGGAAACAGAGGGAAACACCTAGCATGGCTCTGTTCACAGATACAAAAAACTACCATCCATCCATCCATCCATCGTCAACCGCTTATCCTGCATACAGGGTCGCGGGGGGCTGGAGCCAATCCCAGCTGACATTGGGCGAAAGGCAGGGTACACCCCGGACAGGTTGCCAGTCCATCGTAGGGCAACACATAGACAAACACCCATTCAAACTCACATTCACACCTAAGGACAATTTTTTAGAGACACCGATTAACCTAGCCTGCATGTCTTTTCTCACTTATAGAAATGTACTAACAGTATTACAGGTAAGAGGGTGAATATGGTTTAATATTATACCTGCTGAACATCAGCATGTCAGCCTTATTAGCCATTGTGAGCATGTTAGAATGTTAGTCTTAAGTACAGTCTGTGTGGTAGAGCCTCACAGAGCCGCTAGCATGGCTGTAGACCTAATTTCACTTGTCTCATCATGTCCATCAGTCTGCGTCTGCTCCAGGAGCTGGTTCAACACCTAAACAGTGCTACAGTCTCATTGTTAGTGTCTTGACTTTGACACACTTTCCCCATCAAATCTCATTAAAACCTGTGTTTATGATATCATCCCATCCACTCCACATTCCAAAAAAAAGGAATTTGACTCTAGTTTATTCAGATTAACTGTCTGGTCCAACAAAAGTGTTTACACACCAAAGAAGCGTCTTATTTCTCAAAATACCAAAGTACTACACTAACACAATAGTTAAAGTTCTCACCGTTCACTGTAAACCATTCATCCCAATATCATAATAATAACAGTAGAATGAACAATATTGAGCATTCTTTGAGGTTTTATTATTGTTTTGTACATGGAAAAACAGAATACCTATGTTGTTACTCACTTAAAGCATATCTACAGAAGGGCTGTGTCCAAACCTCTAAAATTGTATATAAACATGGTCATACTTATGTAAGTGACAGGTGCATGTCTTAAAAGTACATAAATACGTACAATGCAGCCATAATGTTTCACTTGTGGTATAATGTGCTGTATATTCAGCAATGAAATCTTCCATTCTCTTTGCCTTCTTATGGATAAATAATAGTAAAAGTCACACATCTTTCAGCTTCACCAAAAGATCCTTAAATATTAACAAGAGTGAGTAATGGGTCCGGTAAAGTTTAAGTGTCGTGTTACATGATAAGGTATCTGGGCTGATGGCAACCTATGCGTTGTTTCAAGTAAGAGGACAGGATTAAGATAACTGCAGCTTCACAGGTCAAACTAGGAGACACAACACAAATGGGATGCACTGATAACTGTAGGTAATGACATGATGAGCCCTTGTGTAGCATTAAGGTTAGGATCATTGGTATGTCATAAAATTACACAACAGTGATTCAGCTTATGGAGGATTTGCAGTTCATTTGTGATTCTCTAAAAGTAAAATTCTGGTGATAGTTTATATTATTCATGTTAACAAATCCCACGAAAAGACACACTACTAACAAGTAGTGTTGTAGTCAAGACTGAAACCGAGACCAAGTCATGACCAAGACCAGAGTTTATCGAGACCGAGGCAAGACCAAGACTTTTAGGGGCTGAGACCAGGTCAAGACCAAGACCAGTTCCCCACATTACATGACACACAATAAAATGTGGAACGAGATCATAGGTACTTCACAAATTGATCTGAAAGATCCACTTTCCCTTTAAAGCACCCACATACAAACACTAAGAGCTGAAATCAACGTAAGCATCTTTATTCAACACTCCTTTTCCATGCTGACCATCGCGAGCAGGAGTGACAGTCATTAACAGTAAAAACGCATTTTTAATTAGGGTTATTGGTTGCATTTGAAGCGATACGTTTTACATCCTATCAAAGTTAGACCTATCAAACAAATCAGACAATGCAAGTTATGGTCTTGACTGTTCTTGAAATAAAATCCTGAGTCTTCAATGTCCAAGACGAGACCGAATACAAATGCGGTCGAGTCCTAGACAAGACCAAGACCATCAAAAAGTGGTCTTAAGACCAGTCTCAATACCAAGACCTGTCTTGAGTACTACAACAGTACTAACAAGTACTGTGTGTGTGTCCAAAGCCTGATTTTGCATCTTTCTTTGAGCCAAAGAGCGCAATAGTCCAAAAACTATTAAAATCCCATCAGTGAGCGGTTGGGTAATTATTTAGCCTTATTTGTTGCCAGTTTTTTACAGATTTATGGCTTCAGTAGCAACAAGTGAACTTTGGTCTGAGAGCCACAGACAGCATTGGAAGCTCTGAAATTCTTAAGAAGCAGAAGAATACCTTGTTGGTTTTGGTCCTTTTGTGCAATTTGTTAAAAATAAGCAAAATTTTGAAAATGAAACTGTTGAATTTTCACGATTATCCGAGGATGCTTTCAAATTCTTTGCTCATCCCCCGACCTTTCGTCTAGCACCACCATCATGTTCAGTTTTCTGCTTGAACAACACTTGACAAAGTTTCTGATGGCCATGTTTCCATAAAAATCTGCTGTAGAAATTCACGATCCCTCTAATATATTTTTGACGACTTCCTGATCCTTCCTCGAAAGCCGCCATTGGGAAGTTTGTGACATTTACTGCGCATATTCTTGCTCCTCAGATGATGATCCCTTTTGATTTTGAGCTTTCAGACTCATGAAGCCTACTGCCTCATGTAATCAGCCTGATACATCAGTGCAACCCAAAATAAACGCAGAAACACCATTTAACTGTACACACAAATATATATATATATATATATATATATATATATATCTTTGTATTGATTATTACTGATGACCAGTCAGCCAAACACTGCAAGCTCACAGACCTGTGGTCAGGACAGTCTCAGAAAGAAGGCACAACTAGTATGAAGCCCTTAAATCTGATCTCAGGAGCTTCACTGCACTGTGGGCTCACAACAAACTTGCCACCAGCACAGCAACCAGCCACAGTCCATCATTACAGCCCTGCCGTCCATTAACGCAAGCCTTTGTGGTTTGGAGGCAAAATCATCAGTTGTTCATCTCTGCAGCTGTAAACAATGTGTGCCAGGCTTAGACCCTAGATCCTATTAATTAACTTCACTTTATTTTAGTGTTGCTCCATTGTTCCACCCATCCCTTTCATCCAGAGCAAAATGTCTCAATCATTTTCTTTACATATTCAGGTTCCCCTGAGAAGGAATCTTAATAATTTTGTCCAGCACCTGCTCTTAACTCTAGAGCTTCCATTCGTATGAAATCTCCACTTGCACATGAGAAATATTGAAATCTATATTTGTCTTGCTATAAAATTTATTGAGCATCTTTGTGCTCCCCTGAGGATGAACCCATTGGATTTTAATGACCCTGTGGCCTTCTCTCCAGCGCCCCCCTCAGGACAAACGTGATATTTTCAGCTTGAGTACTGCAGTGTCGAACAAATTTCAAATGTTTATAACTTAATTGTCCTCTAGCTGTGTCAGTCTTTACAGGGGTACTGCAGCAATTTAAAATAACATTTTCATAAAGTTGGGTGACTTGCGAAAAACAGATTTAAAACAAACCTAGTAAACCTAGTGACCTAGGCATATAACATGTCCCACTTTGATTATGTGCAGGTACCTTTTCACCCCCATCTCTCTATTCCCACATTTCATGCACTGTCAACTACAGAAAAACACTCAAAATATTCTTAAACAAAGAAGAAATTAATGAAAATTGATGGCCAAAATATCCTGACCTCTCTGCATGGTGAATAAAATGCCAAGCCCAAACAGAGATCATCTAGATTATATTATTTGTTTTTTTAGGGTTATTTTTTCAGATGTCTGACCAGAGAAGACATTATAAAACTGTTTTCACTGGAGTATTGCCCCTTATGTCAAATAAACTAGTCTTCATGTGTTAAATTGGTGGAATGCTCCTTTAAAGAACAACATATGGGGCTGATATTATTATTTCAGTTATCAGCTGACTGTCATCCACTTATGCAGTGGTATAATATATTTATATATATTCTTATTTTGTTTTATTATCCTCTTTGATCTAAATGTTTCCCATTTTACCAAGAACACAGGTCTGGTGAAATAAAACATAGTTTGACCTCAAAAAGGATCAAATGTAACAATAATATTCAATGCCAACACATATGCAACTTCAACTTCGGATTATCTTATTATTATTATTACTGCAGCCACCCAATTCTTGTGTGTGTGTATGTGGCAAATAAATGTAGTCAGTGACCATGTTTTTCTTTTTCAACCAGTAAACAGCTCCTCAGCTCTTTATGGTGCTTTCAGTTTGTGGGTGCTGGCTAAGCAAAAGTGGAAACCCCTTTGTCCTGTGACAGATTAAACGGCCTTAAAGACAGAAGCAGCGCCCTCCTCCTCTTCCCTTTAGTTTTCCCTCTGGGTCTTTTGCTTCTTTCGGGCCAGCCGGGCCTCGCGCATCTCCTCCAGGGTCTTACGGGGGTCCATGACGAAGGCCAGAGCCACGGTGGCAGTGCCATCGCCACTCTGCCGAGAGAAGCACAGGAAGGTGGCCCAGAGGAATGCGCAGCAGCCCATGAAGGCCGTTCGCAAGTACAACGGCATCAGGACAAAGTTGAGAAACTGTGACGAAAACAGGAAACAGTGAAAATGTTCAGGAGACGTTATAATTAAAAATTATCCCATGTCTAACATAATGATTATAATTTGTTATTCCAACTGTATAAAATTCATAATTTACACTTGAAGGGAGAGTTTGGCTTAAGTGCTATTTCTTTTTTATGTCATTAAATTGATGAAGAAATTATATTAAACGTTCTTATTAGAATCTAAAATTAATTGTGTAAGTCAGAGATGGGCAAAGATACAGCAAAATGAATCTTGTTACAAAATGCAAAATATAATAGTCTCACAATAAAATCCATAACACTGGTGCCTGAAACTTTATCAAGATAAAGTTGATCAGTTCAGAACCCCATGAGTTTAATCCCTGACTCAGTCATAGGTTTTGACCTAGTCTTGTTTTATGTTTGTGAATCATAAATGGTATTTTGAAAATACAAAGTTACTCCACTCTAAAGTATTTTGGTGCAAATTACATTTGATTTTTTTCAGCTCTGTCAAATACCAATTACAAAATACTTTGAAAGAAATTTTAATACATATTTTAGTAGGAACACTAGTAAATACTGCTCATCTCTGGCCTAAGTAGGCTTTAAGGGAAACCCTCAGCATGCACCTGACTAACAGACTGATTAATATCATTTTAATAATTCATTTTGATTGATCCTTCATTGCTACGTTTTGGCATTTTTTGTTTCTATAATGTTTCCACTGAAGTTATGTGATTAGTTATTTAGAGAGAATTTGTTTAGTGTTTTGTGCACGATCAAGGTCGATTAAAAGAAAAGATTAAATAGGATAAATATATCATCATTTTGATTCTAAGGGCTCTCTTAATTACCAAATTCATACCATTGAATCTGGGCATGTCAACTGGCCAGAGCTTGCAAAGTGTGTGTGAAAATATGTGTTCACACGGAAAATGACTTATAACAAATAGTTTATTCAGCTCTGTAAAGATTTAGAGATTGTTTCGTTTCACTTAGATAAATAGTTTATATTAATTCAACAAAAAATGTTTGCTGTGGATCTTTATCACAGTTTTTTTATTAAGTCAAGGTTAATTTTTCATTGTGAGGCCACATGGGGGGAAAAAGATCAATCTTATAATGCCGGAATTAAAATAAAAAAGAGATCTGTCTGAACTTTGAGATTTAATCAAAATCAAGCATTTAACAGTAATAAAAGCAGGACCAATTAAGAAGTTATCAGTATAATTAGTGTTTGGCTGATTAAAAAACAATCCAACTCTGATAAACTGGATGTGCTTTAACTTGTCAACACTACACCAATAGTGACATTTTAATCAGATTTCAGAATCAATTGTAAAGGACTTTCCTAGTTAAAGAAAGGTTAAGAAGAAGAAGATTTGATGCAGATATTGATTAAAACAGTCTCTTTGTGGACAATTTTTTACTTTTGCATCCTTAGAGAGGGCTAATACTTTAAACTTCAAATTTACCAGTATTAAATGTTGTGAAAAATGAAACATGAAAAAGCTCAAATTTTTGATTTCAGGTAAGGTTTTCCAACTAATGTCTTTCTTTAAAAAAAAAAATCTATTAACTGAAATACAACTCAGATACTAATGTGCACAAAACAATACATTGCTTCCATGTTTACCTGCATAAATGGCCAGTACATGAGTCCAGTCTGAAAGAGATCAAGAATGAGATTATGTAGCCAGTGAAGATATTTATAGTGGTATGTTTCTTATTCATCTAAAAGTACCACACCCAAAGTTGTGGATTGTGTACTTTCCCCTTGAAGGAAGAGAGCAAGAGAGCAACACAGCTATTAGAGCTTAAAAAGTATTTTGCATTTAACTGTATTGCAAAATTATTTTATTGTTTGCTTGAATTGTGTCATAAAATCCTTTTCATGTCCATGTCAGTGCAATGGGGAGTCGTTTGGGCTCATGTTTAACCTTTAAGACTTAAAAAAAAAAGCATTTTCTCAGTCAGGACTTAGCTTGACTTGCAGAAAATCAAGAAAATGACATTTAATTATTTGAAATGACATGTATTACATAATTAGGAAAAAGGAGTAAAACAACAGTTTGATATTACTTCATTACTATAGGCTAAATATCCTGCAGTCACATTGTAAGCACAACATTTGTGTCAACCAAATGTAGTTAAACAAAAGTCAAAAGTTACTTATAATAATATATGAATTTACATTTATTCATTTAGCTGACGCTTTTATCCAAAGTGACTTACAATTGCTATACATGTCAGAGGTCGCACACCTCTGGAGCAACTAGGGTCTTGCTCAGGGACACACTGGTGGATGGGTCACAGTGGGGATTGAACCCAGGTCTCTCACACCAAAGGCATCTTATCCATTGCGCCATCACCACCCTAGGTTTAGTTTATCAACTCTCAAGTAAGTAAATGGGGGAAAAAATAAAACTGTCAAATAAATAGTAATAGTATGATGAAACAAAATTGGAAATAAACAAGCAAAGTACAAGTAGGCTATCTCAAAATGGTAGTAAAGGACCCAATCACTTTTTGAGATGGAGAATGATGGCAGTATGCAACCTTCATTCCTCGCTCAGGCGCACAAACAGTCTGCTTTGAAATGGGTCGTTATTGATAAATGTCTGTACAATTACCAGGATCATGAAGCATGACACCCCAGTTACAGCAGCATGACGCTGTGTGAGTTACATTTAGCAGGATTTCAGATCCTAAACGTCCTGATACTCGCTTACTTCCGGGCGTCGTGCCCATTGCGGAAAACCTGCAGTGACACAATCTGGGTTAATCTGGTGGTGAGCTCGCAGCAGCAGCTACCATGTGTGAAGGTGACTTTCCTTCGTTTGATGTTTTCTTACCTTCCAGGTGTTGAAGAACTTCTCTCTCCAGTCTTCAAAGACATCCTCCTTACCTTCCAAGAAGCTCACCCCTGCAGGACAGAAGATAAATATGCGCAGAGTTTGTGGCGATAACCATTTGTGCGCCGTTACGCACAAATCTAAACGACCTTAACGGGAAGTTTTGTCAGCTCACTATTGTGTGTGTTAACGTTTTTAAGTATTTTAGGGTGTGACAACAAGAAGTCATGTCGTACGTTAAGAGAGTTGTAAAGAGAGCAACAATTCAAAGCAATTCTACACATATTAAACTGATGAGACGTATTTGGGTCGGTGCTCCTCCTGCTCTGTGGGTTCAGTGACATGAAAAAATACTTTATTTATATTTTGCATTTGATGTGGATTCTCTAGTTTGTAAACCATCTTACCCGTGTAGAAGACACTGGTGGCCAAAGGCGACGCGAAGCTCTGGTCCAGCAGGAGTTTGCGGAAAACCATCCCGGCGGACTTTCCAGGGAAACGCTTCTCCAGGGCTCGTAGCCAGAAGTAATTGAAGTTTCCGTGGAAACTGACTGCTACAATGGCCACGTTGCGAGTGTGTTTCCAGTCTATGCGCTCCTTCTGAGCTATGAGCTGATGGACAAGGTCGCCGCCGGCGAAGAAGCACCCGTACAAAGTGACATTAGCCAGCCAGGGGAATCGTTTGGCGGCTTCTTTCAGTACAGCTCTCCTCATTTTGGCTCAAGGAGGAGGAGAAGCTGGGGTCGTGTGGGCGCTGACAAAGTGATGCTGGACTGACCAGTGGCTTCAATTTAGCAATCAAGACGCAGGCATAGCGGTTAAATGAATTTGACTAGGCCCTGGTATGAGTCGGCTGGCTGACACGACGCAATCCATCTGTGCGCGGAAATGAGGGAAGGATTAGACCTTTATACCGGCAGCAGGAACATCACACATTATCAAATCTCAGATGAGTAATGAGAAATGTCGACTTTGCCAAAACGTTTCTCAAACACTGCTATCGGCATATTCGCGCTCTGCGTAAAACCTGCCATGGCACCACTTTGGTCACTTGGAGAGAGCTCCTCTAAAGTTTTGCGTCCTGGAGTTATGCATGCATAAAATATTTCCCAATGAGAAGCTTGAAGAAAAGGCTCAGGTTGAATATAAATATAGCCTAAATGTAGATAATTCTGCGTGTTCTGACTCGGCGTTTCGCTGCCGGTGAATCAGGTGGCTCTCCAACAAATCCTGCGGGTCAAGCGCTAATCTGAGGGATTGTCCCAGGCTGCTCATACATAGATCTCCGGCAAACTGCGTCACTGACATCAGCAGCACTAGTTTGCTGCACAGGGCTCTGTGTTGACGCGGGTTCAGCCAATCCAAGCATTGTCAGATCAGCGGTGCCCAACCCCGCAGTGAGCGCATGTCACTGCTCCCTCATGACCCACAGTTTTCATCCAGACCTGCAACCATCGTATGACAGGCAAACTAAGGACTTCTACTCTTAAACAGACTTTTGGAAACATCAGCTGATTTCAGATTGCTGGAAAGCTGTGTGACACTGACCCTGTCCAAAAGTGTCTGGAGGCGGAAGGCTGTTGTTCAGCCCACAGTTTAAAGCGTTCTCCTGCATCACAGGTGAATATTTTATTACTTAATTTAGTCGCGATCACTGTCCGAGGTGCTGATCCTGGGTCCCCGAGGGACGCCGCAGGCATGATTCCCACTATACTGGGATGGATGCAGTCTTGACGGCTGTCAAAATTTATTTTCAAACATCATTGTTATTCTAGGAGGCTTGGAGATAAATTACTTAAGTATTGGCTTTAACTTTTTCATCTTCTTTTTTCTTCTTTTTCTTTTTCTTCTTCTTCTTTTTATCACTTATCATTTATTCATCATTCTCTATTTCAGAGCTATTCATGCTGCTCATAGTGTTCATATTGTCTAATACTGCATACCAAACCCACCTACCTCAAGTACAAAACACCTGCACACAACACTTATTTATTACAGCATCCTTTGCACTTTGCACTGTGCATGCTTGTACTTGTATGTGCACCTGTATATCACATCCGACTCTGACATAATAATATGATAATAATAATAATAATAATAATAATAATAAATAATAATAATAATAATAATAATAATAATAATAATAATAATAATAATAATAATTTACTCTTACATCCCTTGCACTTTGTTCATCGCACTATTGCACCATTGTCTCAATCTGCTTTGTTTATAGTGTGTGTATATGTGTTCTGTATACTGTAGCCTGTGAAAAAAACATAAAGGATATTAGGGTAATAATGTCTTTGATCCATCAAACATGGATCTTCAAGAACCTGGCGTGTTTGGCCAAGATTGCTGTCTGCATTTATTCAACCGACCTTGGGTTCGAGTCCACCAAGGACCACTGCCAAAGGTGCCCCTAAGCGTAGCCCTGAAACCCCCGGGCGCCACGCAATTAATCCTAATTAGGATGGGTTAGATGCAGAGAACTAACTTATTTAATATTATTTGAAGGACAAGGTAAAGCAGATGACCTGCACACGGCAATGCTGTTTCCACTACAACCAACAGAGAGCGACTTCACTCCACACAGAGTCCATTATCCCAACTGAGAGCTGAGCGAGGACAGTTTCTGTTTATCCTCACTGTCAGACCAGAATCTCATCGTACTTTTCATTTAGCTAATTCAGGCTATGTGAATGTTTGATTCAAGGCCCACATAATGCATTACGGACGCACACACGTTTATCAGAATCAGAAATGCTTTATTTATCTCCGAGGATAAGTTATTTTGTTTCAGTTGCTCACTTTGCACATCAGGACATAAAAGGAATAGAAATAATAATAGAAAATTGGTAAGTAGAGAAAATATGAAAAAAATATAGAAATGTATAAACATTAAAAGGAGTGTGGATATATGCAGTAGGCTATTTAACAGAGTTAAGGATAAATGCAGATGAAACACTGTGAGATATTAGGCGGCATCAATTTATATATTTGTTATTTTATAATTTAGGTAATCCCATTATGAGGTCCTACGCATAAAATACTAAAGTATACAACATAACTATCTACAGTATATATATGTACTGCAGTACTGTCCAGATTTGGACACATCAACTAATTTCATGGGTTTCACTTAATCTGGGGGGGGGTGATTAGGGAGGGGTTTACGTAGCACATCTCAATCCAATTGGCTGATTTCCCTGTCCGTCGAAAGGATCTTGTCTGTGATTGGCTCTCGTCTCTAACACCTCGGAAGTGTCATTTTTAGACTTGAGCAAAACTTCGGCGAATCTAACGGTGGTGTGGCGCGGCGGCTGCGAGCTGATTCACAACTTTCGGGAAAGAAATGGCCACCAGAAAGCACTAAAACAGGTACGTTTGAAAACATTTCTCCGAGAATTTGAACCTCACCGATTAACTTAGCCGTTGATTTCTTTCGTAGTTAAAGGGAGTGTTGTGTTTGCGCTCTCCAAGCACGACCAGAGAGGTTCATTGTCTTTTTGGCCACAAGCTAGCCCCAACTTTCCTCCTCATGTTTTGTAAGGTTATTGAGAAAAGGTTACGACAAACTCCGTTAAAATGTGGTAATGTGGTCTCGCTAACTGGCCCGTTTCTTAAATAAACTCTCCACTGACTCAGTAGCACTATTTCAGTCTCACGTACAGCTGTTAACTGACAGCTTTTTTGCTAGTTGCTAGTTATTGTCATCTTCTCCAAAATACATCGTTAAGTGCAGCGGGGACCATCTGTTGAAGTTGATATTTCGTGGATAAATGTTTTGCTTAGTGAATAGCTTGTACGCCGAATTTATTGAAATACATTATTCATTTAAGAAACATCTTATTTGTATTACTTTGATGTATCTGGGTTCCGCTGACATGATCGCCAACTTAAAAATATGAGATTTCTTAATGGAGTTTGGGAGTAGCTCCCACAATACGCCAGATACATTAATATTATCAGGGCTTAAATATGAGATATTAGCGTGAATAATTGCATTTTAGATTATGGACTTCGAAATGAGACTGTAAGGCAGCTCCAGTGTTGGTGGGTAGAAATTTGTTGATGTTGAAAATAAACTACAAAATACGGAAGTTGCTGTAAGCGAGTTTAGACATGTCTAATGTCTCCTGTTGTCTCTTCTTGTCAGTGGTCTAATAATAATAACCTGGGTTTGCACTCGAGTGCCTTTCATAACTTTCCTGTTAGTCAGAGCATGTGCAGCATGCATCAAAGAGTTGCATGCATCCTCCTAGCTGATGACATTTATATGAAAATTCACATTGGGTCAAAACAATATGAAGCATTCAAGTGCTTAAGAACGTCAAAACAAAGTGTAATTTTTGCGTTATTATTAGCTTCAGCTCCTCTGTAGATTTTTCAAGTTAGTTGCATGAGAATACAGTTTGTGTCCACTGATATATATAAAATGTTAAATGCTTCAAAAACGTTGAAATAGAAGCTAGTATGCACAAGGAAATTGAGAAATAACATTAAAACACAGAATCATGAACCGGAATAAACAAGCACAAAAAAAAAGCAGTACAACAAAACCTTTAATGACATCTGTTTGATCAGTCAATATTCGTTGTTTCTAGCGTTGGAAATATGTCAAATTATATGGCTTTTCCTGCCTCATACAAAGTTCCTTTAACACTTTCCCCCCCAGGCAGGACTTGTTTTTGTCACTGCATTTTTAGGAAACCGTAAACGGTCTGAAAGACCTGTGAAAAGCGGGACAGTAGGACATCATCCCTCCATCCATGCATGTTGACCTAAATACTCTGAAAAGCAGGCTGCTGACAACAGTTCCACTCAACTTAACATTTACACAATCACACACAATTACACATCACAAGCATACAAGACATAAAGACAAAGGACATGTCAGTTAGGTTGTTTCCAGCCACACCCGTATCATATAGGCAAGAGATGTTCTGTGTTATAGGAAAACCGGCTTAACGTTTGCTTGGTAAAGTGCCCGGCATTCACTTTGAGTCTTTAGCAGTTTTTTGGAGAGAAAGAGGGATTATAAACCACAGGATTAAAGAGAGATGGAGAGAGTGCCAGCACCCTCTTTTAGAGGATGAAAAAGAAAATGTTGTGGGTGGCTTTAATGGATGGACTAAAGGCTGCTGTTCTGCAGTTTCTTACCAGAAAGAAAGGAGTCAGAGAGGGCGGAGGATCAGTATCTTAGGTCCATGTTGTTCTTATGTCACAGCGGGCGAGCGACTGCATGCCTGCATAATTCTGTGACGCTACGTTTGCATTCATGTTTGTATAAATACTGGGGTTTTGTTTGTCGTGGTTTGTAACAGTAGAGCCGTTTTATCGGAATCAGAATCGGCTTTATTGCCAAATAGGTTTACAAAAACAAGAAATTTGCTCTGGTCATTTGGTGCTGAACAATAAACACAAAAAATGTAAATCTAAAAATATGAAAATGACAGGATATACAAACTGTAATAGAATAATAAAAAGAATGTGGCAGTTATTTACATTTGATTATTGGTTGTGTTTGTGTGGGATCTGATCATAATATTCTGAGACAATCATTTTAGGACGTTTTAATTACACCACAAATTCTTTGATGAATGTATATAGTGTATTAATGCTGAAACAATTAGTCGATTTAATTTGTATTTTTAGAATCAAATGAAATCTGCAAATATTTTGAGAATCTATTAACTGTTTCGGTCAGTTTTTAGCCAAAACATCAGCTGGTTCTAGCTTCTTAAACGTGAGGATTTGCTGCTTTTTTTTTTTGTCATATGTGACAGTACATGAAATATCTTTGGGTTTTGGACTGCTGATTGACAAAAGAAGACATTTGAGGTTTGTTGCGTTGTGCTTTGGGAAATTCTAATATGCATTTTCACAGTTATTGAACATTTCAGTTTGCCTTCTTTGATCATTAGTTGCAGCAATAGACTGTATAAATGAAGTGGAAGTAGTCACCGTGACGTCACCCGTTGCTTTGTGGACTACTGTTTTGAAGCCTCGAGTTTGGACAAGAGGCACGAGTTAGCTAGCTTGGTTAGCAAGGTGTATCTTTAATTCACATTAACTGTGATTTTAACCGGGATGCTAATTTTGGCTTGCGAAAAACAGGCTTAGAACAAAAAGTTCTCACTGGAAAACAATGAACAGCCAACCCAACGGCGCTGGTCAAATCTACACAGAGCAGAGGATACGAGTTGCCTCCAGCCTGATTTACATGCTGCCGTCATAGGAACATGTCAATCGTAAGGTAGCCCGCCCTAAACCGTGTTCTGTTTTATGGTCTACTTTCCTCTAAATGGGACCATAATTTACTAAATGAACATCATGCTGTGTTGAAGAAGACATGAAACTAGCGACTGGGACCATAAAGTCATTAGGAAAGTGTTTACTGAGGGAATAAATCAGCTGAGAAGTAGAAACATTTTCTCATAGACTTCAATACAATCACTTCTTTTTTGCAACCAGGGTCGCCCCCTGCTGGCCGTTAGAGAGAATGCAGGTTTAAGTTACTTCAGCGTTGGCTTCACTTTTCAGACCCGGAGGTTGCCGTGTGGTTGCAGCCGTACAGTCTAGTCACTCAAAGTACATTAATATTGTTTGGTCTAATTTTGGATGACATATTTGTGGTATTTTTGGTAAGTCTGCATCATATATTATTACATAAGGACAATTTCCCTACACTGCACTTGCACGGTTTTAAAATGGTAGAGGAAGGATTTCCAACACAATCAATGGTTTTAGTCGTAAATCGTCAGCAGTTTGACATTTAGGGAAATACACTTGTTGTTGTTGATCATTTAGGGCTGCAATGAATGTTTAAGTTTCTTATAGTGTAACATAAGATGCCCTCCTATGCTACATGATGATACTGTATGTAGCAGAAGATGCCTGTCTGTGACTTCCTCTTTAGATGCTGTACAGGAAGCGTGGCCGACCGCAGCGAGGGCCAGGTTGTGTCACTACTTTCGGTTCTGAGGAGGACGTGGAAAAAGGAAATTTACTTTTAAGCCTTCATTTACCTGTAGCTAAAGTTAATTACTGCTAATGGTGGCTAGTTAGCTCAGTTATCCTCGCAGCTAAAGGTCCCATTAGCTATCTGAGTCTGCCCTGGATTAGGAACTCTGAGCCTGTTATAAAAGTTGTGTGTTTTTTTGAGGGGCTGCATTAAGGGCCAGTATACGATAAATGCAAAGCTACTCTAGTTGAATCCCAGAATAAAATATAGAGCTAGAAATGAGCGCCTTGTAATGCAAGTTTGCTTTTAACACTCAATGTGAGGTGTGTGGTGTTGCAGCACCTTTGATTGTTCTCAAGTCTTGAACCCAGACCCAGGACGCTTCAGAGTTAATATTCAGAAGTTTGCAGCAGAAAATATTAGAGTTTTATCAGTTAAAACCAATGAGAAGTACCCCGACTTTATTACTTTAATTAATTTAGTTTTATATACCGTTGGAAAAGTGTTTCTGTGAGTCACGTTACCGTAGATGTTCAGTTGCAAACTCTTAGAAAGCCCTTTTAGAAGCAGTCTGCAGGTTGTGTGTTTGTGACTGCGGTGACATTAACTTTGATGTTGTTATAGCTGGCAGAGCTAGACACACCTTAATTGTTGGTGTTATGTTGTTCTTTGCTATCAGTGTTCCCATACACACACACACACACACACACACACACACACACACACACAGCTTTAACATTAACGTGCAGCCAAAATAACCAAATGCAGCATTATTTTAGTGATCTTTGATAATACATGCTAAGGTCAAAGGAAGGAGCTTATCAACTGATTTTACATAACCTGCTGGGCTGAGTGTATCATTGAGTTAACTCTGGGGTCAGTACTGTATAAAGAGTGCACCTATTTGTGGGGGGGTTGTTGTTGCAAAGAAGGTTTATGTTGTATCAGAGTTGGGCCACAGCGAGCAGTCCTTATTTAAATAGTATATAAAGGTCAGTATATGTTTTATCCCATGCTGTTGCATACTGAAAGTCAAGCTTAAAGTTTATTGGTATTGTTAACTGATTGGTTGGTTGGTTTCGGGCTGGTGGCGGTAGGAAGTGGTTTGCGCACCGTAGTCGTTGCTACACATCCTATTCAGTCAGAATGCTCTTCAGCCTGTGTGGTACCTTGTAGTTTTTAATTAAGATTTTCTATACTGAAACACACGTGTACACCGTGAACAGTTCCCATCTTACGGAAGTGGTTTGGTTCGGGACCACTCGAATCTACGCTGAGGTACAGGTGCTGGAAACAAAAACTAAATCTGACAACCAGGAACAGCAAACATAAGTCAAAATAAAGAGCAAAAAAGATATACCTTTCATATAATGTATGCCTAGCCGATTCAATTGAAGGTAATTTCCTTGTTTTATAGTTTTAAACTTTCATTAGCAGTGTTAAAAAGTTTATTGGTCAGTACTGAAACCTTCTCATAAACGTCCTGCTTCCCTTTTTGTACATATGTTGCTGAACCCAATATGTGATACATGGTCTGCTGGTCTTTTTCCAAAAATAATGCAATTGATTTATTAGCATGCAAAAGACACACATCATTATTCGTTCACTTTTGGTGAGCTTGTTGTGATATTTGGGGTGAACGGTAAAATAAAAAAAAGGCTGGGTCCCCCGCACACATTTTTATTCTTCTCATGACGCATTGTAGAGAATACAGAGCAGTCTCACACAGGTGTAATGATAACCCAAATTCAGCAACTATTCAATATATTTTAATTAAGATACACTTTCAACAAGCATCTTAACAAATGTTAGTTACACTAAACCGATCGAATCAACTATTATAAGTACAGCGGATCAATACAACCCTGTCCTCTAGGAATGACATTTGTTTTGCTCTGATTATGTTCACTGGCAAAATGTTTTTGTATAGTAGTTGTCCCTTCTTTTTTTATTTACCTAGGTTGCACCTCTGGGATTAATACTTTGTATTTTCTTAAAGTTTTGCTTCACCAAATTATAAAACAACATGTTTTATCACTTAACTTGTAAGTGTTTTTTTCTGCTGCTGCTACTTCACTGCAGCAGCAGTATGAAGCAGTTCCATTAAAACTGTATGAACAAAGAGAAAAAATTAAATAATAAACAGTAATTTTACCAGTTCCTGAGCTGATACATTTTGCTCTGCAGTCTTTTTACACTCGGTGAACTCCAAGTAAAGTTTGTTTTTTCCTGGTTTCAGGTTTTCTTGCGTGCATTTTGTAAATATTCTTCTCCTGTGTTAGTGTCAGGAGGCGGGAGGATGTCTGTGGAGGTGGACTTGTTGCTGCAGGAGGCGAAAGAAAGCATCGAGGCGGCCCAGAACTACCGCAGTGAACTCCAGCAGCGCCTGCAGGGCCTCAACCAGGCCCGCAAACAGGTACCACAAGTTTGTTCACACCTTGTGTAACATCACTTGGATTAACTTCTTCTGTTTAGGAAAAATGTCATGCTTCTGAGGTAGGGTTTCCTCCATGAGAACCATCTTTGTCTGTTTGACACACACTCAGATAGGCCGGGGCAATGTGAAGTGTGTTAGCCTCTGACCCTACACAATCCCAGGAGAGTATATTCTTTCTCTCTCTGTTATCTTTTCCTTCCTCCTGCTGTCTAGATTTACCCCTAAAACAATGCTGCTATTTCCTGTTGCTACGGTAAGACAGCGAGCCTTAGAGGAGACATGAAGGAAGACATAAGAGACGAGAGGGACCCAGCCAGATGGTCATGCGCAAACACAAGGCTGGGACTCCATTTAAATTGATCAATAACTGTTTATACACTGTATTGTCTTCACTGCAGTTACTTTGACTGGGTATCATTTAAATGTCTCTCCATTTTTCGTTCGTCCAACATTCTTCGGCTACTGGTTCGGCTGCAGACTTTTACTCTTGCTATTATTGGCATTTATGTCTTCTAACAACAAACAGTGTTGAATCTGAATGGTTTTACTGTCACTGATAGAAACCACGAACATCTCGTATCAGAACTTACGTGTATCACGATTATTAACACAATTATTGATTGACTTACGAAACATTATGCAAATAAATGCTTCATTTTTTAAAAATGATTATGTATCATCCAAAATCCAAAAAGCGTTGTGCATGATTTTTACAGGAATGTTTAGAGGTTAAAACAACTAAACGCACATTAAGTGGCCATTCAAGCACACTGGGCATGCGCTTGCCGGTGTAAACGGGAAGCAGATTGTTTACTCCGCAGCTGCAGAAGATTCGGCTAAAGAATAAAGTACCGCTAGAGATGAACGCAGAACAGCGATGGTGAAAGCCACAGCAGAGATTTCTTTGGATGGATCGACAACGATCCTGGAGATTTGAAACCCAAAAGGGGTCAGCAGCGTTTTCAGACTTCTTTGTTTAAGGTATTTGGATTTGCAGTTTTAGTCTGAACAGCAGGTGTAAACATAGCAAAAGTGCTGCGTTTTAAAACGAAGTCGTGAAAACCCCATCTGAGAAGACTTTTATATAAATATGATTCAGTGCAGATAGTATAGAAACACAAAACAGTGTGTAGTGATACCAGCCAGCGTAGGATCTCACTAAATTTGTCTGGGGACCCCTGGACCACGTTTTCAGAGCCACTGCTTAAACCACTGTTGGTTTTTAATCCAAACCTGAACTGGTCTAAAGACCTAGTTTCTATGGTGATGACCTTTAGATTAATGTAAAACTAAATTTGAATAATCTTTTTTTGTAAGTAGTTCTTACTGATTTGCTTTAAAGCTTACCTACTTGGCTTCCCTGATGCTTTCACAACGGTTGTTTTGTTTCGCTCAGTCGATCAGTGGCGATAGGAATATTTTTACATTTTGGGAAATGCGCTTATTTGCATTCATGTCAGGAGTTATATCAGAACATAGACACCACTCAAAATGTGAAGCTACACCCGGCAGTTTAGCTTAGCATAAAGACTGGAAACAGGGGGAGACAGCTAGCCTGGCTCTGTCTGAAGGTAATAAAGTCCACCTAGCAGCACCTCTAAACCTCACTAATTAACATGTGGTATCTTGTTTGCTTAATGTGCACAAAAACTGAAGTGTAAACATGACAGTTTGTGTTTTTACAGGGGTTTATGTGCAGGACTGTTTCTTATCCAGGTGTAGTGACATCCTGGAGTATTATCATCACTGATCAACTTAATTTAATATCTAAAATACTGTTGTTTTTTTTTAATTGCTAACAAGCATCTATCTTCATACAGTCTGCTTTAACAACATGAATCATGGCCAAATGGTTGTTCTCACCTCGACAAACCACCAAAACACTTGTCAGACACATGTCTTAAAATTAGATCCTTCAACCAAAACACTTGCAACACAACGTCCCTCATAACAAAAAAACACTAAAGACAGGCAGGATTATACAGGAAGGATTTTTATTCTTTGAATTTTGAATGATTTTTCACATTAATATTAGAATAACAACTTTTCACTTCATTGACTCTACTAAAGCTAATGTTACAAGAATGGTATTTTTCTAAATCTTTGCACAAAGTAATTTACTAGTGAAGAAATAAAATTCTATGGCTGCAATAATACAGTAATTACACTGAAGCCGCCCCGTTTTGTCTGTTTGGTAACGAGACTGCTCTAAAAACAGGACACCTGTTTTAGCTGAAATCGCAATCACCTGTGTTATGTGAATAATAATTATTTCTATAGATTTTCTATAAATTGTAATACTGGTGCTGCAGAAACATTCTGCAACAGTTTGCATCTGTTTTGGACTATTTTCAGCGGCGGTTGAATCCACATGTGGAGCTCTAGAGAGTATTTGGGGCAGCAGGACGGTGTATGTGGGACTGAGTCCGAATAAACTGCAGTGTGTGTGTGTGTGTGTGTGTGTGTGTGTGTTCATGGAGATGAAGGAACATGTGACCCTGTGCAGGAGTGACGCTCACTGATGGGTGTTTAATAGTTTCTGGCTTAGAGGAAGAACATACTGTAGAGTTTATCAGGTTTTGGATACACTAACACCGCTACTACTACTACTACTACTACTACTACTACTACTACTACTAAGCAGTATATCACAGACAGTGCTAGCACAGACTCAGTGACAAGTAGCTCGCCAGGAAGCTTACTGGTTTACCATCAGTGGTAGAAGCCGTGTTTCAGTTCCCCTTTGCAGAGCGCACACGCACACACACACACACACACACACACACACACACACACAAGCACACACACAAGCATTTCACAATGAGTGTACAGAAGGGGCAGTAGAGAGATAGCAGGAAACGGAAGGCCGATTGACAACTGCTGCACTGATAAAGTACGGACGGTATGACTATGAGAATGAAAACGCACACTGTATGTGTGTGTGTGCGTGCGTGTGTGTGAGTGTGCGTTGAGCAGACACAGGACGTTTTCCACTGGAGCCAACGCATCACTTCCTGATGACTATCAGTGCGACACAGACAGCTGATGATCAATATTTTGGGATTTGTAAAATAATAGTCAAACTAAAAATACGACCTGACGCCATCAAACCGTTTGTCAGAGGAGGGGACGATCTGACATCGGGCCAATGTTTGGATGACTCCTCTTCCAGGACAAGATGCCGCAGTGATACCATTGTCTGAGTTTTCAAACACACACACACACACACACACACACACACACACACACACACACACAATCTGCTTTCTCACTCTCATTGTGTGTGTGTGTGTGTGTTTCATGTTTTTATATCCCAGTGGGGACTTCAACCTGGATGCACACTTACTGATGGGGACTCGTGTCACCGTGGGCAGAGATGATAGGTTTAAGGTTCAGGTTAAAATTAGGGCTATGGTTAAGCGTGTAGTTGTGATGGTTAATGTTAAAGTAAGGGGCTCGGGAATGCATTATGTCAATGAGATGTCCCCACGGGGATGGAGGAGGAGATGTGTGTGGTGTGTAATGTTTCCTGGATTCTTTTAATGTGGGAATGAGCCATCCCTGCTGTGGGAAAGAGTCGGGTTATGAGACAGAAACACCACCACATACTCAGTCCATGATAATGTAATATATGATGGAACAGCTGGGATTGGGCGGAGGGAGTCTCACACAACATAAGTTATTTTGTGTGTGTGTGTGTGTGTGTGTGTGTGTGAGAGAGAGAGACTTTTGAAGCCATTACAGAGCACTTTTCTAATGTGTCCAAGATAGATGCAAAAAATCACCGTTTGCAGACACTGTTCTGCTGAATTGTGTCCCTGCACATCCACTCCATCTGTAGCTGACCTCTTAGAAAAGGCAACAAACGGTCTGACGTGCTGTGAGTGTTTCTGTCACTCGTTTAACAGCGTTTTTGATTCTGGTCTTTTCATGAGATTTGCTGAGCTGCCATTGGTGATCTGTATTCTCTTTGAAATGTTAACTAGCCAGAGCCCCTAGTTGTCTGTCCAAGTGAAACATGTACAAATAAGCTTTTTGGATGTGTCTCAAAAGGTTCTTCTAAATAAATTATTTGATTGTTTTCCAACATATTCGATTCTCAATGCTGAAAATGTCCAAATATAAGCCATCGTGACATTGTGACAGCACGTTGTCTACATGGCTTCCTTGATTTTTTTGTGAACAGGAAATCTGACTGTACCAACTTTCATTGTAAAAGCTAGTATCGCCTTCCCGAGAGCCCTCAGCTAAACATTGTATTCAGTGTACTGACACAAAACGAGAGTTATTTTAGTACTGAAGTAATGACTTACTGCAGTATTTATCTGTGGTTGTACAAGGTTTGAAACTGTAAAATGTAAAGCAGAATGGAGATGCTTTTTAACAGCCAACACTCGTTTCAAAGAAACCTTCACCGTTTATTTTTTGTACCTTATTTATTTATTTATTTATTTTTCCTCTTTTCTGTGTTCTACAGGTCCGAGGCAGCTCGGGTCAGGCCCGCGAGGCTCTCCGGCGGCACTTTGCGGAGCTGCAGGCGGCAGCAGGTCGGCTGCTGACGGAGCGTTTGACCGCTCTGCTGGCTGAGGTGGACGCCATCGAGGCAGACAGCGTCAAACCGCTAGATGACTGCCAGAGCCTCATTGAGCACGGGGTGGGCCAGGCTGACGAGCTGCTGAGAGAAGGTGGGCCTTTGAAATACAACGTTTACATGTCTGCCGTTCGACTTTTTCTTGGTTTTTAAGGAAGGAGCAAATGAATGCTTATTTTCCACTTGTTAGCCACAGCTTTTTGCTGTTTATACGTGATAATAAAATATAATCTTTGGGTTTTGGACTCTTGGAGGAGCAAAACAAGACATGTTCACAAGTCACTTTGGCACTTCGGCAGACATATTTTTGACCAAATGATTTTTGATTCATCAACAGTGAAAAAGTAAATTGTAGCATCCCTACCTCTGACCAAATGTTACCCTCATTTCCAATCAAACGGATCATAGATGTGTTAAAATATAGTCTCTGCGTCTCCAGGAGAGGCAGCTCTGCGTTGTGGTCTTGGGGAGAAGGAGGACCAACTGGGCAGTTTCACCAAGAAGGCCATGCACATCCAGCTGGACAGGTAGGACAGAGACAGCCTGTGTAACTGCAAGTGTTTCCATCCACGGAGCAAAACAAATCTGCTGTGTGCAATAATATTCCATGATCAATAACAATAAAAGCACAGGTGACTAACCTGTACAGTGATTCTGCTACTTCATGTTGTTTTAAATGAACAGGGTGATGTTATTCAACTGTAACTGGTTCTTTGTGTTCCAGTTTACCAGAGGTACCAGCGCTGGTGGACGTGCCGTGTGTTTCAGCCCAGCTGGATGACTCCCTGCTGGGTCTGCTGAGGGACCGGGTGTCCCGCCACGGCTCCGTCTCCTCCCACCCGCCCGTCCAGATCGACGAGCTGCAGGAGAGACCGGGCGGCATCCTGGTCCGCTGGTGTAAGGTCAGCTAAGGGGAAGTGGCAGAAACGGAAAACATACTCTCATACATACTTAACATGGTGACGTTAATGTAAAACACTGTAATGATTATCACATGTGTGCATCAGGTGGATGAGGACTTTGCTGCAGCAGATTATCGGCTGCAGTACCGGCGGTCTGGCAGCGGGGGGAGCCAGTATGAGGACGCCTACATCGGTCGGGACTGTGAGTTCCTGGTACTCCACCTCGACCCTCACGTTGACTATCTGTTTAGGGCCTGCGCCCGCGGGGAGGGTCGCACAGAGTGGAGCCCCTGGAGCATCCCGCAGACAGGATACACCACACTCGCACCACATGGTAGGTGAAGACTCAGCGGCCTTATCTGACCCGTGAAGTTAGGTAGCTACGTTTATTGTCACAATATAACTAATATATAAGTTATAGAGTGAAATTGAGTTTTTAACTCCCTTCTGCTACATAGCAGACAATATTACATTAAAGAGGTGGTGTTATGCTCATTTTCAGGTTCAAAATCTGATTTAGGGGTTGTACCAGAACAGGTTTACATGGTTTCATTTTCAAAAAAACACCATATTTTTAGTCATACTGCAAATTGCTGCAGCTCCTCTTTTCACCCTGTGTTGAAGGCTTCGTTTTAGCTGTGGAGTGATACATCTTGCCTCTACATGATCTTTGTTGGGAGTTGCACATGTGCAATTCCTAGTTAAGGACTACTAGCCAATCAGAAGCAGAGAAGGGCGGGTCAGCGAGAAGCCGGTAAACAGCTTAGATTCAGCTGTAGGCTACATGTTGACGACCAGCTCGGCAACATGTAGCCTGGAGCGAGAGTTTCAGAGTGGTGAGTTATTAATGTGTAACAAAAGTATCTTTCATCCATAAAGTTTTAACTGAGCTCTGCCTCTACATCACAGGAACAACTTCATGTCCACTGACTGCTGGAGGGTAGCTAGTGTTTGGAAGGGAGATGAGAGCTGTGTGCTGCAGCTCACTGTTTTTCCCCCCGGTGTTTTTGAGGGCGTGTCGGAATAGCCGATCAGCGAGCATTATGACACGCATTTTCATTGTGACGTCACAAGAAAGGGAAGTAAAGGCTGGACTACAAACAAGCTGTTTTCAGTCAGCTCAGAGCAGAGTTTTCTGTGGGAGATGGGAACTCCCTTGGGGCTTTTTCTTTGCAAACCTGTTACATGCACAAAAAAGGTATGTAACTCAATAAAGGAGAGGGGAAAAAGCCAAAAAACATAATACCACCTCTTTAATACAGAATAAATTATGAAAAATGATAAACAGAAATAAACTATAATCAATGGAGCAGTGAGAGGATGAATTTGAGTTTAAGAGTCTGATAGCTTTGGGGGGGGAAGCTGCTCAGCAGTCTGGTGATGCGGCAGCAGAAACTTCTAAATCTCTTCCCAGAAGGCAGCAGGGTGAACAGGCTGTGGCTGGGTGGGTACTGTCCTTTAGTATCCTTTGGGCTCTGCTTAGGCACCACACCTCACCAGTATCACTGACGCTCGGGAGACGGTACCAGTTTTAATCGTCCCGCTGCAGAGCCTGGTCCTGGGCCGTGCACATCCTACGCCAGTTAGTGATGTTTCCAGTCTACATGTTTTCTATGGCTCCTCTGTAAAAGCTGACAAGAACTTGGCGCAGGAATTGACCCTTCGCTAAGCCCCCTTAGTTACTGTTGCTAAGTCCGACAAACTGTTGGCGCTGCCACTGTCTATTACTGCACTCCCTGGAGAAATATTGTACAATTAGTTGGAAAAAGCGCTTTCAGAAAGAAGCAGACAGTTTTGCAGTTGCGTTATAGATTTGAAGGCTGTCAAACGTGAAAAAAATGAAAGATCCCCAACAACTGAGACAAAACACAATGACATGAACGATCAACACTGTTCCTGTAAAACTGGGTCGGCCTCAATTCATTATTACAATCGTTAAAAGCAGAACAGTAGGGCTTTATTACGTTACGTACAGTAGGAAGTTAGCTAGCGTTAGCTAACTAACATCACATTAGGAACAACCCACAGCCGACATTTTTCTGGATTTATTTTAGGTTTTAGAATGAGAATAAATTGTACTTCTCCTTTCAACCTCTTCGGGTAGCGACTACAATTATTACAAGTGCTGCAGAAACAGATTTGACCAGATCTTGGAAAATTACAGCCAAAAAAAGCTAGAAAACGACTCTTTTTGCATTAGAGTCAATGGAGCGCAGCCATGAAAGTGTCGGACCTCAGTTAGAGTGAGTCATATACTGCGCTGTGATTGGCCAGCTGTGTATTTGGGGCGTGGCTTAGCGAAGGGTCAATTTGACCTCCTTAAGCTTCCTCAAGAAATACCGTTGTTTCTGAGCTTTCTTCACCACCGTGGAGATGTGAGACGACCGCGTCAGGTTCTCTGTGAGGCTGATTCACAGGAACTTGAAACTGTTCAGCTGCTCCAGCTCAGCACCGCTGATGTAGACAGGAGTGTGTGTTTGTATCTCCTTCTTCCTAAGAGGTCTGCACTATAACTTGTTTATGGGGTGGAAATGGCGCTAGAGTGGCGGAAATATTATCGTCATCGAAAATCTTTGTGGATCGACCCATCCAAGCCACTGACCAATCTTTAATTTAATTTTCCATCTGGTTTGGTGGGGAATAGCAGACAGTATCATCATGGGGGCAACATGTGCCAGCACCTCTCTTAAATCTTTACAGTATATAATTCTGAAACCCTTAATTGCTGCAGATTAGAAATACGAACCCACTGACCCCTGATCCTTTCATCTGTCTCTGTGTCTGTCACATCTGTAAGCAGACAGATGTGTGCGTCCTTCAGACTCACCCAGAGAGTTTTATTATCAACAATATAACTCCCTTAACCTACGTGTGTTAATAAGCTCTGTGTGTGTTTCTGGTCTCTCATCATCCAGAGTGGTGTCCGGGCACCGAGGGCTACATCCTGAGCAGCAGGAGAAACATCGCTCTGCGCAATGACTCCTCCCAAACCCGCTGCTCCGTCCTCTACTCCAACGCACCCACCTACTTCTGTGGCCAGACACTGACCTTCAAGTACAAACACACACACACACACACACATAAAGAAACAACACTGACCCACTCAGATACTGATTTATGTACGCCTGGCAACGGGCAGATTATACCAGTTATGTTGAATTTATCTCTACCTTTGGATTATAGACGTGTAAACTTTTCTTTTGTCCTGGATTCTTTATGTAAATAGTTTACGGTAATCTAACTGGCGTTTCTAACTGTGTGTGTGTAGGATCGCTGCAGCAGGTCCAATGGATCGGGGTGACTGTCTGGGCGTGTGCGTGGACAACCAGAGTGGGGCAGAGTCACTTCAGAGAGACCAGGCCGTCTGCATTTCCACCAATGGTACGCCGACACAGTGTCATTTTATCTTTTCAGGGACAAAGCAGTGATAATCATTCACAGCAAGTGAAAATCCAGCTGAACCTGAGTTAAATATTAAGTTTACGTGTAAACACTTAGTATTTTCGCACCTCACACGTAGCATTGTTCAGTACTTTCACTACAACTTTAGGAAGTCGATCAAAAGCTTGTTGCAGGTTTACTTTACGCAGTGCAGTGACGGATTTTAAGAGACTTATAATAAGCTGTTTATTGAGGAGAAAGTAATATAAGTTTTCTAGCGAGACGAGGATGGCTGTCTCGCCCATAAATATGGTCATGAATAATAACAACACAAACAAAAGGCGTTTGCTGAAGTCAGCAGCTGAGCTTTGCTAGTAGTCATTGCTATCTTAAGTGAAGGCTGCATAAAATCACCCTCATTTAATCTAATTAACTGTACAGCACCAATGGTGGAAGGTAACTAAGTACATTTACTCAAGTACTGTACTTAAGTACAAATCTGTGGTACTCGAGTATTTTCTTTTCATGCCGCTGTTCTACTTTTACTTTCTACGCTCTGGGCAATTGTAAAAACATTTCTCACAATTTTATGATGTTTTCAAATTGATTGATGGTGAATTTAATCAGCAGATTAATCCATAATGACAAACATCATTAACTGCAGTCAGATACAAAATACTCGTTTTCGTCAGACGAAACTAAACGAAATATATTCGTCAACGACCTTTTTTTCCCCGTGATTAAAACGAGGCGAAGACGAGACGGCAACAATGTCCTTAGACGCCGACTGTGACTATGTTAACATGCAAAAATGACGAGACTAAAATGTAATTATCAGTTTTTGTGTAATAAATTAAAAATATTTTCTACCTCTAAATTTTCACTCAAACAGTGTGTTGATTCAGCGTAGAGTATTTTTTTCTTCCTGTGCTGTGAATGCTAACCACCTGGGAATTGATGTAAATTATACTAATGAGTTAGAAAAGACTAAAATGATGACTAAAAAAGATTTTCTTTTGACTAAAATCAGACAACACCCAGACTAAAAGTTGACTAAAAATATAGTATGCAGTGGACTAAATATGACAAAAACTAACAAGGACATTTGACACAGGACTAAGACTAAATTTTAAAATGGCTGACAAAATTAACACAGTGCTTATACTTTTAGTCCTTTAATACCTACATGCGTTTACTTAAGTAACATTTCCAATGCAGTACTTGTAACACTTAAGTGAAGGATGTGAATACTCCATCCACCACTGCACAGCACCAAGTGTGTATGTCAGTGTCATCATTAATGGACAGGGATGTATTCTGAAAATGTAAATATTAAAGAAAATCTTCTCTGGCTCTGTTAAATTAGTCTCCACCATTTTACCAACATGGCAACATTTTATCAGGAGCGACGTACACCTGCTCAGAGGAGGTGTCAACACCTGTGGGCTCGTGCATGCACTTCCTGCTAGGGGCTTTGGTCCCTATTCCACTGATCTAGAGGTGACAATGTCACCAGAAATGTGGAAATGCGCCAGCAAAGGCCGGGGAGGTGAAGACTACTGGCTAGTGAACACGCATGTTTGACTTTGCAAATGTTTTATGAGGAAGGAAATGCATTCACCATTTTTGTTTGACTCACACAGTGAGTTTTGTTTTGCTTTAAAACTCAACACTTTAACAAGAGTTTGTAGTTTACACTGAAGGATTTTATATTAATTAAAGGATATGAGTGGTTCATTGACTGCTGGTGTTATAAAGGTCAGTAAAACTATTAATTGAAGTGATGTAACGGTTGTGTGTCGATGTTCAGGTGCTGTATTTGTCAACGGTAAAGAGATGACCAACCAGCTGCCCGCCATCACCCTGGGCTCCGCTGTGACCTTTGACATGGAGGTGGTGAACCTGTTTCCCATCAGCAACAACAACCTGAGCGAGGGCGGCAACTTCAAGCTGAGGGTGACCATCGGCTCGGGGAATCGGGAGGTGGTGTTTGACTGGCTGGTGGACCAGGCGGTGGACTGCCTCTTCTTTGGCTGCTCTTTCGTCCACTCCGGCTGGAAAGTGCTCGTGTTTTAAGAGCGCTCAACTTTAAAACGAGTGACGCAAAAATTGACCGTTTTAATCTGCTGGAGTTTAGGAGCTCGGCCAGCTTAAGTTTTTCCTCTTCTGTCGTTTTTTCCTCTCACACCTGAGCCACTTACAGGGCGACACGTCTGGGACCAGACCACAGTGACAAAGCAACAGCTGCGAGCTCACACTGGAAGGCTCAAGCAGAAGTAAAACTTTGTAAAACACAGCAGACTCTTCTGTCCTGCAGGCCCCGTAACCTTTGAGCCAAAGCTAAAGTTTAATTTCTGTTAGGAGAAGAGCTTGAACTTGTTAAAACTGTAGTTCATATGAAGACTACATACACAAAAAACAAACCTGATGTGTTGCATTTATCAGTTTTACTTCTGCTAATTCAGCTTGTTTCTTTGAGAGGCACGGATTCAGTGTGTTTACATGCACTTACGATAAGTAGCTGGGTTACTGGCGGCTCTGTTGTAGAACAAATCTGGTTTGTGTAATCAGAGAATAGATTTCTGCTGGTGAAAAAGCTTTTTAATATCTGGGTTTCTAACCAGACCTCAGAGAGGGTGAAGTCGCGCTGTGACCACAGAGTAGTGCGAAGAAACGCCCATTTGAAGCTTTTAGTTTGTGCAAAGCAATTTCCTTTCTCTGTAACCTGATTTCTCTGAGCAGATTGTTTTTCTCGTGTGCATGTAAACGCACTGACTGTGACTGGGAGCCCCTCCGGGAGGAAATGTGATTGATCCTTGTGTTTCCAGACTCTTTGTGTAAACCCTGTCAGTGTGGACCTCCTCCAGCAGAAACTGGCTGCAACAGTGATCCTGCTCGTCTTCAGGGAGCCACGTTAGAGGGCTGATATTTGTGTTCTGCACAGCTTCTTGGCTTTTAGTGTAGTTGGATCCTCGGGCCTTCTTACAAGGTTGGCCATTGTTTACAGCTTTTTTAAACGTTTTTATTTGCCGTCTTCCTCGCTGTGGTGAAGAGTTGTAGTTGGCTGTTGATCTATGCATCGTCTTAATTTAGCTGTAGTACACAACCTGTCAGGACACACAATGATAGATAAGTTGTTATCTTTTTTTTTTTTTTGGGAGCAGCAGGAAAGCAAAGACGGGCGCGTTACAATCAGCCTCTTTAAAGGAGTAAATTGTTGAACCTGCTTGTCTTGTTTAGCCTAACAAATAATCCGTCACTGTGAAAGTCACAAGATGTCTTGTATGTTTCTTCGCAAAGAAATGTCTCTTCAAATGTAATGACACAGGAAATCTCGGCCCCCCATAGCCTGTTGTCTTTAAAATAAACATGTCATTATCTCAACATAACAAAGGGATTTCTTACTATCATGACTTTCTAATGTTTAATATTGTAACCAGATATACTCAGATCTCAAGGTGATCGTCCGAGATGCTGAGGGAAGACTTATCCAGAGATGATAATCACGTACGTTGAGTTAATGTCACAATTGAATCTTTATCTAAACTAAATCTTGAGCTTAAAGATTCATTCTTGATATTAAAAATAGTAGTTTGACTAAAAACGTGTGGATGAAAGCTCCCGCTTGTTAAGTCAATGTTATCTCAAACCCAAATCTTGATATAACTAAAACTATTTTACTGTCTGCAGGTAGCTTTCGACTTTTTTTTTAGCTCCCTCTGACGGGACAGACGGAGCTCCCGGCCGAAGACATGAACTTTGTTTTTGGCTGAACTTTCGCCTTTAAAATAATCAACTGTTACTTTTGAATTACTTTTGCATTGACAATCCTAAAATTATTTTCAAGAGCATGTTAACTACATGATAGTTATTGATTAATCTGTGAGGAACTAATGAGCCTCGTTCAGTCCAGTTACACAGTCTGACTTATCAATGCATGATGGCTGCTGTTATTAAGAGTGGGATTAATGTGAGTTAACAGAATTAATACAAAATATTGTAAAAAAAAAATATATATATGTTTGACCTGAGAAAAACAGAAAGACAAGGCTTTGATAACGTGGAGCTTCAAATCAGACAGGAAGTCAGTCTCATTTCCTCCCTTGTTCTTCAAATACTTTTGTGGGTCCTGTAGAGTAAAAGAAAAACTGTTTATATCTAAATGAGAAGTTCAGTCGGTTATTTTTAAACAAGAACAAGTTCTTAGCTTCTGTGATGTGATGTTGCCGTCCAATTATTGAGTTAATTCTATGAGCACTTTCAAAAAGTTGCCATTAGGGCTGCGATAATGAGGATAAAATCTAGCAGGTACACCTATAACATGTTGGAAATGTCTCGTTTTGTTCATCAAATGGTCAAAAATACAAATATGTTCTAGATTAAACAGAAAAGCAACAACTCCTCACATCTGAGGAGCTGGACCCAGAGAATATTTGGCATTTTTACTTAAAAAATGTTCTTACTTTCATTAATCAATCATCAGAATAGTCGAGTAATTGACAAATCGCTTCTGCAGTTAGCCAACAAAGACACTGAGAGGAACATTACTTGTTCTGTTCTCAAGATCCTCTTCTGCTTAGATGTTTTGTGGCGTCACTGCACCCGGCAGCCGGTCACCAACAAAAAATTCCAGATTGTAAACTTCTACAGTATTTTTATTTTGTACGAATGAAACAAACAAGATCCGAAGTGTAACGTGCCGTTTCCCTCCTGCCTCCAGTTTTTTTATGACGTGAGAGTCATAATCTTCACACCTCACTTTCAGCAAGAAAGCAAATGTAACCGTATAACCCAAAATGTCTGTTCCTTCAATGACAAAGCTGTTGTACTTTTGTTTTGGCAACACACAATGTACTTTCTTGGAAAAATCCCAAGAGCATTTCAAACTCTGGTAACATCACGATGTTCTATTACGGCAGTCACCATGTTACTTTCATGAATTTATTTGTCTGCTGTCAAGTTTTATGCAACATTGTCAGTTATTTGAAAAATATTTTGTGAATCCACTCCAGCCGTGCTTAATGTCTGTACAACATGTCCGCCCTTGCGAGGTCTGGGTGAAAGCATTCTGTCTTTCTGTGGGGTTTTCACAACATTTTGTTTCTCCTACTGAGAATAAACATTTCTTGTGTTTTTCCCTGCACACACAGTGGACTGCTGTTGATAACACAGGAAGCTGTCATGGGACGCGTTTCACTTTAAAAATCAGCTCCATTTCAACCAACCAGCACGTCTACTTCAGCTCTTTTAACAACGTTCCTCAGAGACGTTTTACTTGTTTTTCAGCTGATCTGAGGTCAGTGTCTTTGTGGAGGACAGTGGAACCTTGGATGGTTTCAGTTGATGGTACAGATTCCCTGAAACCAGTGAACACAACCTGACTTTCTTCTTCTTGCCTGAAGGAGTGAAAGAAAAAACAAAACAAAACAGTGACTCCTGCAGGTCAAAGTGTCGCATTGCATTTGTTCTCACAGCTGTCATCCTTGATATTTTGTTCAATAAAAGGTCAAACTAAAGTGATGAGTTTGTGATGAAATGGGGTCTTGTTCGCAGTGGTCATGTGGTGTCTGTATTTTTCCCTCTGAAGAATGTGATTTAATTGTGACAGTTCAAGAACAATGAATGTGTTTGTTCGTATGTCTTCGCCTCACTTTTGTCACAGTTCTTTGAAAATATAATAGTTTGATTAAATTTATGTGTTGCAGTTTCTTTCTGTAACCACCGGGGGCACTTGCTAGGTTAACAGCACTACATGAAGGTATCCTTACCTGTGAAATTAAAGTATACAGCGACAGTATTTATCATTATTATCATGAGAAAGGATTTCATGTTTTTTTTTAATTAAAATTAATCAAAGTAGCGTCAATGCAGAGACTAAAATTTTCTGACAATATTTTCAAAATTATTTCCACATTCTACAGTGGGAATAACATTTAAAGTTGGTAATACACTGCTAAAAAAAAAATAAAAGGGAACACTAAGATAACATCCTAGATCTGAATTAATGAAATAGTCTAAATACTCCTTTCTTTACATAGTTGAATGTGCTGACGACAAAAAAAAAAACAAAACACAAATTATCAATGGAAATCAAATTTAATCAACCCAGGTCTGGATTTGGAGTCACACTCAAAATCAAAGTGGAAAACCAAACTACAGGCCGATCCAACTGTGATGTAATGTCCTTAAAACAAGTCAAAATGAGTCTCAGTAGTGTGTGTGGCCTCCACGTGCCTGTATGACCTCCCTACAACGCCTGGGCATGCTCCTGATGAGGTGGCGGATGGCCCTCATACCACCCTCGTGGAGTCTGTTTCTGACCGTTTGAGCAGACACATGCACATTTGTGGCCTGCTGGAGGTCATTTTGCAGGGCTCTGGCAGTGCTCCTCCTGCACCGCCAGCATTCAAAAGTGACCAAAACATCAGCCAGGAAGCATAGGAACTGAGAAGTGGTCCTGCAGAACCACTCCTTTATTGGGGGTGTCTTGCTAATTGCCTATAATTTCCACCTGTTGTCTATTCCATTTGCACAACAGCATGTGAAATTGATTGTCAATCAGTGTTGCTTCCTAAGTGCATCTCTGAAACTGTCTGCAGGGGTCAGTAAAGAGGTCCAAAGAAGGAAAAGTGGTGAACCAGTGACAGGGTCATAGGCATCCAAGGATCACTGATGCACATGAGGAGCGAAGGCCAGGGCTGTTTTGGCGGCAAAACGGAGACCTTCATCATGACCAGTAGGTGGTCATAATGTAATGGCTGATCGGTGTACATTCGATTGATTTACTTCACATCTGTTTGGTTTTCCCGTTACGTTAACACGTTAACTCTCAAAAAGTTTCTGTTCCTAATTCCTAAAAAATAGCTAAATATTTCGTTTCGAATCATATCAAGTTAATGTCCTTATGGAAACCTCTAAAGAATATTTATATATTTTCCCGCTGAGGAATGAAGAGTTTATAAGTAAGAGTTTCTCAAATTATGACTACAATAGAACAAACATACATTTTGTTAAGCTTCAGTTTAGTCGTTGTAGTTTGAATATTTGGAAGTTTGGAAAGTAACTGGCTGCAGGTCAAACATCAACGCAGACAGGAGACTGATTACATTATGTTTATACCGTCTTGTCTTATTATTGCTAAGTTTTACAAATGAAATAAAAGTAAAATAAAAACATTTTACAAAAAGGTGAACATGAGATGTAGTATTCATAAAGTGTTTCAGCAATACTGTGTGTGAATGTGGCTGTGCCAGTAAAACCAATTAATTTGATTAGTTTCTTAAAACATTTTCAAAGTAAACCTTTAAAGACAGGTGTACACTCCACTGGTTTGGGCACAAACACTAGCAGCGCTGTGAGGTTCTGTCAGACTGGAAGAAGATGAAACTTTGCCATGTGTTTGGTGAGATTATGTGATTTTTGGTGTGTTGAGTTGAGCAGTCACTCATTCTGTGGCATTTCTGCTTTAATAAGGTCACCTTTTGTGTTGTGTGCACACGTACGAGTCAAAGAAATGGACCACATGGGCAACAATAGTACAAATTTGTTCTTTTAATAGAAAAACACTCTGACTCAACTTAAAAGTTCACAATGTCAAGCTGGTTTACAGAAACTGTTGAAGAAAAGTTTTTCTTGACATGGCTCCTCCCATCTTGTGCAAAACGCTGCTGGTCTCGTGTGAATGAAACAAAAAAAAACAAACTAAACCAACAGCGGGCTCCGTCAGAAACAGAAAGTCGCTCAGAGCTGTCACGTCCACAGCCCGCTGGATTAGTCACCATCACACTTCTGACTGATGTAAAGCTTTTTAAAAGATCACAACATGAGAAGTTACAAATAAATCCCATCAAACCTCAAAATATCTCTGCATCAGTTCCTGCGTTGGTGCATCAATGGTTGGTAGCATCTGGACATTGTGCTTTTTTGTCTCACTGAGACTTGAGATCGCTTACAGGTAGTGACAGCGGGTCAGATGGCGAGATCAGAGATTCAGCCTGAGTCTTTGTTTTTTGTGTTTTTTTTTTGTTTTTTTTTTACATAAAGCATTTTCAAAGGAGACAATAAACAAGAGCAAATCCATCCCCTATGGTCTGCAAATTAAAATGACAAAACTTCCCGGGTGGTGTTCAGGTTTCCACAAATCCACATTCCAAAGCTAATTTATTACAGAGTCTTATGTACATAACGGCAGGGGCTGCAACAGGAGGGAAAATAAACCAAAAAACAGCAGAGAAATTAATAAAATAGAGGAGAAATTGCTCAGTTTCAGTTCATGTTGATGACTTTCACCTGTTTCCAGCTCTGCCTCCTCTGAAGGTGGGCAGCAACTTTTCATTTTAATGAATTATTTTGTCAACTAATCATATAGACGATAAATTAAAGCAAAATGCAGATCGGCAGTTCCCGTCGCACTTGTGTGTAACCAAAGGTCCAAAACTCCTAAAAGTATTCTGACGTGATTTGAAAAAAAAGCATTAATTTCTCACGTTACAGAAACTGGAACCAGCACCTGGAAAAACAGTCGGTTTAGACAAGTCGAATAACCGCTTCGGCACGAGCGTGGCTTCGTGAGGACTCAACCTGCATCTTCTCCAGGAATTCGACCATCTACGCTTCTCGACTTCACCCTCACAGAGACAAAACGAAAGGAGCGACTAACGCACAAAGACCGACTTCACAAAAGGACATGCTCGTGTTGCGTCCAAACTTTGCAATTCAGCATCCCTTCGCACCGCATTGGGCCTTGAATTGTGTTTTTCTGAGGAGGCGGCGCATCAAATGCGACACAGTTTTGTTGTCCTGGAGGAAAACAAGTCCGTAATGCATCTTGGCGTCTGAATGCTGGCAGTAGAAATCGCTGTAAGTGTAAAAAGGAGCCGAGACGCTTCCAAATGTGTTTCTGAGGAGTAAAAAGATATAGCACCGGCAGCAGAAACTGCACTGGAAGTGTCCTAGTTCTGAGTTTTAGTGAATACATTTGATTTCTCTGTGTTTCAACAGTGTTAGAAACTCAGTCTGAGCCCTCAAACAGGAATGTAGTACTGTGATATGCATAACATCTGATCACAGCTGTGCGAGTGGGTTTGTATTCAACTCAAGTCCTTAAAAAAAGTGAACAATATAATAAATATCAATATATATATATATACTGTTGATCAGATGGATAAGATAAGAGTGTGTGCCGCAGCAGAGCTGTTGAGGTTCTGTACAGGTACAGAGGTTGTAGAAAGACCTGATCAGAGTCTTAGAGACCCGATTATACACGCGGACAACCAGTAAAAGTCCTGATCACCTGGCAACTAGACACTCGATCCGAGACCTGATAGACATCTGAGACCATTAACCGTTAAACTCAGTAAAACCTTTGGTGGAGCGGAGTGCGGCTGCAGGGTCACACTGATTGGTGCTTCACACGGAGGAAGACGAAAGACACGATCCCATCTGAGGTTTGTTTCCTGAACGATGGAGCGAGCACAACACGGATCGAACATATGAGGGCGAGCAGAGGCAGGTTTGAAAACGTAGATGAATATAAGAGAGCACCAGAGAATACAATTGCGTGGGTGAACAAACACCGAGTAACATGTTGGGCTGATGTCAGAAGAGTCTGTCAAAACAGCTGCAGAAAGATGTAAAAGCAGATATCAAACTTTTTTTTGCAAAACGCTTGTCCAAAAAGGAGAAAGTCTGGTCATATTCTACATAGAGTTGTCATCAAATCCCATGAAAAGACCAAAAACAACACTGTTATCTACAAACAAGTCCTGTGTTTCTCACAGCCTGATGTCTCTTCTTCCTCTGAGCCGTAGAGCTTAAACACTTCAGTTTAATCTGACTCAGTCCCAAATACTCATTAGAGCGCTGCATGTGGATTCATCCGCCGCTGAAAATAGACCCCAACAAATGCCCAATTTCCTCCTGTTTGGTTATAAAAACTACAGTGAGCAGCTGTTTCAGGAAATTCCTGAGCCTTTCTAGTTGTTTTTTTTTTAAAGATTTGGTAAGTAAGAGACATGATTAGTTTTGATCTTAATGGGGATTTTTTTGACAATAAGTAAAATACAGAATATCGCCAGCTTTATCTTTTAACTCTACAAAATGGGTCCCTACAAATGCAAACTAAAGGGTGAATGTGTCTTGTGCTTGTTCCGTCGTTAATAAACTTTGTGGGCTGGTTATTAAAAAGGAAAAGGATGCGGCCGCCGTGGCTCCTCACAGGCCAGGAAATTGATTATGAACTAAAACCCGGTTGTTACATCTACGGTTTCTGTGAGGACACAAGAAAATAATGGTGATTCTTAGCTTCACGTTTTCCGAAACTCCTCACCTTCCCCAAGTAATGAAATGATAAACCCCTCTGAAGGGTCTACCTGATGTAAATGAAAAAACTATCTTTGTGATTCTCCGATTGAGCAGTCAGTTTATAACAGAACCGGAGAGTTTCTGCTTGGTGGTCGACCTCTCCGTCACAGTTCCTCCACCCGCCTCCTCCTCCTCCTCCTGCAGCTGGTTTCCATTCTCCAGGCAGCCGTTACTAGTCTCATCACTACAGGGTTTATACTCAGATGGATCAAGATCGGGATCTGGATCCAGCTCTGGTTGGGACTCCACAGCCGTCTCCCAGTCCTCTTCTTCTTCCTCCTCCTCCTCCTCCTCATCGTCCTTGCCTCTCTGTGCGGCCTGGCTCTTGATGAAGCGGATCCGGGCCATGGCCTGGTCGATGGTCAGCGTGCTGACCAGGTTGAAGTCGTGCATGCTGATCAGGTGCAGCAGGAAGTTGCGATACAGCTTGTGTTTGACGATGTGGGCGGCGTGGTTTTCGGCAAACAGCAGGCAGGCCTTGTTCATCTGATTGTCCGCTATAAAGCTGAGGAGAGGACAAAAGAGTCAACATGATGAACGCAAGCAAAATGTTTTAGCATCATTTAATGCGTTTACATGCACAGAAGAGACCAGGCTTCCTTCACATCCTCCATTACAAAATGTCCAGTTTTCAGACAAATAACTAGACGCTTAAAATAGTTTTGCCCACACTCCTACGCAGAAAGTTGACGACGTTTCACTTCCAAACATATCTGCCCAAAGAGGAAGTAAACTAACCGATGCTACTTGTACTTGTATTATTTTCTCCTTAACATACGGAACAAACAATATTGTCTTATTGTTCCCCATATTCTTTTTGTCTATTTCAAGAATATAATAACATTTATAAATAAGAACAAAAAGTAATTGAAAAAAGATGATCATTAAATGTTTTGTGCAGCCTTGTTTATTCACCGTGTCCATGGAGATGACGATGAACGCAGTCATAAAAGTTGACTAACGTAAAAAAGGTAGTCAGTTTAACTTGTCTGATGACCACGTCACTGCGTAACTCAATAATGTTCAGACAAGCTCAATAGTTGGTTATTTGTGGTAAATTTGGTCGTGGGTGTCGTTATGAGGCAGAGCTGTCAGGCTGAGACGAGCAGGCGTAGAGGCAGAGCGGCGTAGGAGTGTCAAATTTAAAGTTTGTGTGCTCTGGTTCATGTGTGTTCTCTGCAGCTGGTGTCTGTATTCAGACAAAGATTGTTTGTGATCAAGCTGTGGATCAAAACCTTCAGTATTTGGAGTCAGAAGCTGGTGATGTACGGTCGACTACTGCTGTTAACTCCTTTCATTAACACTTATATTCTGCTCCTCATCTCATTATTTTCGTGCGACCGCCAAGAAAAGTGGATAAGCCATCTTTGACTTTCAGTTATTTTAGTATTTAGGTACTTGAAAGTGTTAGAAGACAAACATGATAATGGATTCAATAAAATCCCTTCAGAGCCATACACACCCATGCTTCATGACGTGGAGGTTCCACAGCTTCATGATCTCCTTCTCCCCCTCGTTGACGTCGGTGAACTCCTCGATTTGCTGCAGTGAGAGCAGAGAAGTCAGACAGGATCCGTTGGTTTCTAAAGTCAACTTAAGCTACAACAATGGGGGAACAAAACAGCTTTAGCTACAGCGACACAACATGACTGCTTCTAATGCTGCAAACGTCATCGACTGAACAAATGTGATCAGCTGACCTGTTTTCAGTTACTCCAGAGATTTAATACTGCTGACATCAGTGCGACAGTGTGACAACAAGTAGAGTAGACGCCGTGCGTGAAATCTGCAGAGAGGCCCTGTTCGCTCAGCTGTAAACTAACCTTGACGGTATTCTCTTTGAGCCAGTCGGGGTCCCTCTCGTCCTCGCTGTCCGCTTCCATCTCCTGAGGCCGTAGCGGCACGCAGCTGTCGCTGTGGAAGTAGAGGCGGTTGTGTCCGCTGATGAGCGTCCTCTGCTGCTCCCGATCGCCGTCCTCCGACTCCAGAAACTCGGACAGACTCGCCTTCGTCCTCTTGGGTCTGAAAAGAAAACATTAATTATTTTGAAGACGTATTAAAAAAGACATTCAAACACAATATTTAATATTCACAGATATTGGATCAACCGTGATGTGTTCACTACGCTCAGGAATTCTTGGCACCCTGACAGGAAATTCAGCTGTTGAAAAGCTGAACAGTGAAAGGGAATATTTCAGCGGTACCTGCAGGTGAGAATGTGGGTGACAGAGGTCCTCTTAACCGGGCCGTTCCTGCTGAAAGCGAAGCCCGGCTGGTTGTGGATGTCCTGAGGGTTTCCTGCATATGAACCATCATAACTCTCGTTGATGGAGACCTCGATCTTCGCTCCTTTAGGATGGGGCTGCCAAAGATCAGGAGAGATACGAATTTAATTTAATTTTAATTTATAAAAAATTATAATATCTGAACACACGTGTTGATGAAGAAAAAGTGATGATCGGGGTGAGATGATAAGAAATGCTGACAATCACTCTATTGGGACAAAATCTTTGAAAATTAAATATTTCAAGTGAAAAAAAAGTATTTGTATTCACCCATTTCATTTTCAACTGTGTCTTTGTTCAGAGAATTTTCAAAGTCCTGAGTAATTTTACACTCAGCGCTATTTGTTTAAAAACAAACAAACAAAAGAAGTAGTTTCACTTTTTGTAATTTATCAGGACACTCTGGTTTCCAGCCTCGCTCTCTCTCTCTCGCTCTCTCTCTCTCTGCACAAAGACAGTGTGAGTCCGTCTCACCACGTAGTTGAAGATGAAGCGGGAGTGAGACAGTTTGAGGTGTTTAATCAGACTGTAGAGCTTCCTGCAGTTGAGGGTACACCAGGGACAGTGGAGGTCGTCTCTGGCCTCCGTCTGCTGCCGCGTGTTGTGGTTGTACTGGAACTGGATAGACAAATAAGAGACAGCGAGATTGAGACCGTCATAAAGACGATCTGTGGGGTTTGATCCCTGCTGTTCTGGCTGAATGAACGCTGTGCAGAGACAAAGTCTTCATCAGCTGTAATAAGTCAAATCAGAATAAAACAAAACTTTACAGTGAGATATGATCATGCTAACAAGCTAATAAACAGCCCCTCATATTCTTACTTCCACTTACATAAGTCCATCTTGAATCTACAGGCCTCATTGTGCTTCTCACAAAGTATCTCTCCAAAAGTTACGCGTCTGTGAGACTCAATACTTCAAAAAGTATGGTATTTACTTTCAGACAGTCTCTCCTCGAAGGCATTCGTGGTTGTTGTAAAAGGTGAAAATGAAAAAAGGAGTTCAAAGCTTTCACACAGGTAAAATGTTAGTTGCAGCCCTGGTGCAGATGCAGTAACAGGTGAGACTGACCTGGTAGAAGATGCGTAGTTTCTGTCGCAGATCAGCTGATATTTGTTCTCTTCTGGTTTGCACGTCAGCATTTATGGATTCTTTAACAGCTGCAGCACAGAGGAGAAATACACCATCACTCACGTTTAAAAAGCAAACAAACCTTTTTTGCCACATGAAAAATCTAATTTCTTGCTCACCGAGTGTGTGTGTGGCTCTCGGGGTGCTGGGTCTGGTGTCCTGGTTGGTCTCAGAGTTGCGGGTGGCCAGAGGTTTAGCCACGGGGGCGGTGGAGCGATCAGAGGAGTTGCTGGTCCAGCGCAGGGTGAACTGCAGGGTGGGACCCTGAGAGAAACTCTCAAATGGAGGCAAACACTACAAGAAGAGAGGAGAGCAAACAAACGTGAAGCTCTCTTACTATTAACATGACCAACAACCGGATGAGAAAGCCGTACTGGAGCATCAGGTCTGGTGTTGCAAAGTGAATAAAAGCCAACTCGCACAAATATGAAACTACTTTTCTTTACAATACTGATTCACAGTGACCATAATAACAACATGTTATATTACTGTGTGCGCGACATATAAAAACACAGTGGGGAGAACATTATTATTTAAAAATCATTTTTGTTTTAGATTCCATCTCTCACAGTTGAAGTGTACCTATGATAAAAAATTACAGACCTCTACATGCTTTGTAAGTAGGAAAACCTGCAAAATCAGCAGTGTATCAAATACTTGTTCTCCCCACTGTAGATGCATTTACATAAGAGCAAATTTTATATACAATTTTCATCAATTTTATGAAATACCATTGTGTGTACAAGCAGTGTTTTGTGTTTCATTGTATACGTTTGATAATAAAATGTTTACTTATATCTAGGGCTGGGCACGTTAACGCATTAATTAATTAACGCAGACAATTACTGTATCGCATGTTAACACAGTTTTTGAAAGTCCGTTGCTCACTGGCTCTGAATACACATACAGTCACAGGAGGGGTGGGATGTTGATCAGCCTGCAAATCAGCCACCCAAACAAGCGGTGGAGGGAGGCTTCGGCAGACTACGCTGGATGCAGCGTGTGGGAGAAGTAGATAAACAAAAGCAAGCATCAATTAAATGCCATAGCGAAGTGGAGAGCTACACACTGCATGCTGATTAAAACTCACAAACAGTGAGGATCCGTCTGTCTTCCAATGATTTGTGATGCGTGTACAAAAAGTTCAAGACAATTCAACTTCGGCAGTGGGCGGTGACCAATTCACCTCACTCTAACAGGGACACCTGCTACTGAACACAGACTGTTTCTGCTGCTCCCTGATAAAAAGAAAAATGTTTCTGCTGATACCTGTTCAGAAAAAAAAAACAAGAAAACAGATTTATATACCTTAACCTGTTGCTCAGAAGGTGCCTGTTATGATGTTATAATCGTGGCTCTGGACTCTAACTTGTTTTAACAAGCTAGATAAAAGGTAATGCCCTGGCAGTGCAGGCAAATAGCTTTGGTTTTATATTTGATTTGATTACATTAATGTTTAAGTTGAAAAGGGAATACTGCTGGTAAAAAGCACCTTATTTGTTAAGTGTTTGCAAACCACATGTTATTACACTTTTTTGTATATAGCACTTAAATTAAAGGTGCGCAATACACTACTTTAGAATATCATTATTATTCATTATACAAATCATGTGATTAATTGAGATAAAGAATTTTAATCGTTGCCCAGCACTACTTATATCATAAAATGTCATTATTTTTTCTGCTTTGTGTGAAATTTGTAACTTGTGTTTTGAAAAGTGCTCGATTAAGAAAGAGAATGCTTATAAATCATCATTAAGATTATTAAGAGATAACAAATCTTTGCTGGTTAAGACTCTTTCCTGTTGCTGTTAGCTTTTCTTGTTACTTCTGAGCTTTGCCTCGATTGGTAAAGACTTTCTTATAAACAGCATTAAAAAAAGGACACAGGTTTATTAATCATCCAAACATTTCAGGAAAAACAACATTCCTCTGGAAGGTTTTTTGGTCAATGATGTCTCTATAGTGCAAGAAGCAAGGATTTCAAATCACTTTTAGTTTTGTGCGAGTGTCTTACATGTACATGTATACTTGGTGTGGAAATACCTTTAGTGTGGAGCCTTGCTTAGTTGATTCTTACTACTATACAAGTCTCACACACACACACACACACACCTTTCCGTCCAGGATGGTCTCCCATGTTGCCCTCTTCTTATTGATAGGACACTCCTCCATCTCTTGCATAGACACCTCATACTCCCCATCTAACAACTGCAGACGTCTGCACACAAGCACACGACAACATTTTCTCACATTTTGATTCTGCAGCTGAGAGATAAGAGAAACACTTTGTTCCCGTGTGTCGGAAGATGCTTCGGATTGCGTGAGCTTCACCTGTTTTTATCAAAGACCGTCATCTGGGCCACAAATGTGGTTTCTCCCTCCTCCCTGAGAGAGGAGCTCCTCCTCTTCCTGTTCACCACTTCCTCTGTAAAATCTAAAAACAGACACATAAATTACTCGTAACCCCCTTTTCTACCACACAGGATCGAGAATGAAGCTTGGAACGGGTCAGACCTGATCCATGAGCCAAACATCAGTGTGGTGATTTCACATTATCAAGAGGAAAAAAGACCATCAGTAGAAAGAATGTGGTTTATTATGGCTTGGGCCTCATTTCTATCAGTAACACAAACACTGTACTCAACAAATTAATTGCTGAGCTTAATGATATTTATTCAAAGTTTAACATTGAGATTCTCATGAGATTGATGTGATCAGCTAAATCACTTCTCTGCAGAAACTGAGGAAGAATCCTTAGGAATGGCTCCTTTTCCAGGATGTACAGACATGCAACATACATGTACGTTAATTTATTCTAATTAGAGCTGCAGCAATTAAGTCGAATAATCGATCAAAAGAAAATTAATTGTCACCTTTTAATTATCAGATTAACCGTTTCAGAATTTTAAATCTACTGATTTGCTGCCATTATTTCCTGATTACGTGGGTAAATGAAAAGTCTTTGTTGGCTGGACAAAAGAAGCAATTTAAAGACGTCACTTTGAGCTCTGGGACACTGTGATGAGCATTTATCACATTTTTTTTGACTTTTTAAATAGGCTCAACGATTAATCATGGAAATAATCGTCAGATTAATCGATAAAAAATAAGCGTTAGTTGCAGTTAGGGCTGCAGCTAATGATGATTTTAGTACTCGAAGCTTCTATAGATTATTTCATCGATTAAGAAGCACTCCATCATAATCACGTCGTGTTCACACAGCGTAAGCGCGATGTGCGACACTAATGTCCGTGCGAAACAGGCCGCTATATAGTTATATGGATTAAACAAAGCCTTGATGCAAAAACATTTGCGTCGATGCATTTTAGTAATAAAATGAATCGATTTCATTGATGAATCGTTTCAGATCTAGTTGCAGCCCTACGGAGAGACAATGTATGACTAAACAGTTTTTTTGAGACGTTAGGCAATGTTGGACAAACTAGCAAGAGACTAGATTTTTAAAGTATCCACCACCTCCCTCCAAAGCCGCTCCCCCAAAACACATGTTCATGCACAGTGAGTGTACCAGCAGTGTGCACAGAGGCAGCCAGGTAGACAGGCAGGTGGGCCAGCCAATCATTTCATTCAGTCCAAATGATGTCAGATCACTTTGTTGATTGCTGACGTGATGTTAAGAGGATTTCAAAAAATAAAACAAAACAATGCTTCTAAAATAAACTGCCTACCCCAGATTTAACAAATCTGGGAACGATCCTTTCAAAAACACGACCAGACGTCAAAAGTCTGTGCTCACCTCTGTCGTGGTGATTCTCTCCGTTGGCCAGGCCGTTGATCTGTGTCCGGGGGTGTCCGGGCCTTGATACCCTGAAGAGCAGCGAGTAAGACTTGACCATGTGAGAATTGCTGGGTTCAAACTCGCTGCTGGGAACCAGCAGGGAGGCGAAGGAGCCTGGCTTGGCCTGGACTCCAGCGCTCGTGTCCGGGTTCAGAGGAACCTGCTTCTTCCCTGTAGGGACCTGCTTTACGGGGCAGCTCACATCCTGCACAGGAAGAAGGGAAAAGACATTTCAGATCCATCGCACTGACAGGCGGACTGTCAAGAAAATGTTCATATTAGCAGCCATGAAATAACCACATGATCATCACACACACGCACACACACACACACACCTTTCTCTTCTTGTGACAGACTTTGACCAGCCGCACCTCCAGAGATACAGAGTTCTGCTCATTCTCACTGTCCTGAGATGGCTTCCCTGAGGACACCACAACACAAAGCAGGACAAAGACGTCCTGAATCACTGGAAATACTATATCTAAAAACTAACAAAGGACGACTGCAGAGAAGGACAAACTTACCATCTTTATGAAAGAAGCCAGTAAAGGTGAGCTGAAGATTAGAGGCCGAGCTGTGGGGGGTGAAAAAACAAAAACACAGGAGGAATTCAAATTAGGGATGCAAACTAGTCATTTTAAGCTAATGAGACAATGTTTCTTTAGGTTTTTAATGTCCAAATAAAATGGTTTGTATTTATCCAGAAATTCTGCATAGGGGGAAAAAAATGCATTTATTTAATATGGGATGAAAGGATTTGGTACGTTTAATGTACCAACTAAGCTACATCACATGTTTCCACTGCTCTCTCCGGTTAAAGGCCTATCCAATTGCATCCAGAGGCATTTTTTGGTCTGCGCCCGTTGATAACAACCCTTGGAAATCAAAAATGAACCGAGACTTTTGGGCTAGTAAATGCAGAAGCACATAGAAAAACAGCACAACATAAAGAGAAGCTGGGGAAAAAGGTGGAGAGAGATGTTGTAACAGCTACAAGAACATCTCAGAAAAGAAGAACTAACTATAAAATCTTTGGGAATACCCAATTTTCAACCAAATATCACTGAAATCTAAGTTTTTAAGCTTTTTTTGCTAACATGTAAAACAAGGCTGAGGAAATAATTTTTAAAATCAGTTTTGTTCAAAAGCTCTTAGGCCAACTACTCATAGAAGATTAAAAAGTTGTGGTTGGTTGGTGATATGATGATATATTCCACCAGACAAGAGAAATGTGTGAGCCATTATTAAACTATCCCTTTGATATCTCTTTATTTATCAAGTGTCAAGTCAATGAGCAGATTGTTGCATCAATATGATCCAGACAGGAATACAGGAGTACTTTAACTTTTAGGTATTAATTCAAGTGATTAACCAAAAGTCAGACATTCACGGAAATGTATAAATATTATACATATTCAGAGTTTCCTCCTTTAGGCAGAAGGCTTTTGAAAATAAAATGTCAACCACAACAACAACAGCAGCAGCAGGACAGACACACAAGAAATCTCTGTGGAAACCCAGCGGGCCCAGGAGGACTGAGTGTTTACCTGTGAGTCTCCTGTTCGCCTCTCATCTTTTCCACTTTGAACAACAGATTGTCAACCTTGGAGCTTTTCCTGTGAATGCAGACCAACAGCAGGGGTTAGCCACAGCACCACCACCGCCACCCAACACTGACCTACAGGCAGAATGATGGAGAACCTATACTAGAGCTGCAACGATGAACTGAACCGCCAACTACTTTAATAAATCGAGTCGTTTTTTAAAGAAAGACTTCTTAAATGTGAATATTTCCTGGTTTCTTTCCTCCTGTTTGAAAGTAAATTGAATATCTTTGGGTTTGTCAGCAACACAAGACTTTTGAGGACGTCATCTTGGGCTTTGGGAAAAACAGGTTGACATATCTCACACTTTTCTGACATTTTATAGACCAAACAACTAATCAAGAAAATAACTGACGTATTAATCAACAATGAAAATAGTCATTAGTTGCAGCCCTACCTTATACAGGAGAAGAAATATTTATTTCTTCTGGATAGATTCAGTCCACTGACTAACATCATCTGCTATCACCGGGCTTCTGATGATCAACTGTACCCCTAATCCTGGTCATGTTACACTAATGCAGATATAAATACTACACACTGTAATGTATATCTTGAAACTTCTTTTAATAACCTGCAACAACAAAGTGGTCTTTAAAAAGCAAAAGGCCATCAGAATGAACAATGGCTGGTAGTAGAGAGGTGTGTGAAGGTTGAAATGTTGTGAGGTGTGTTTTTCCACGCTGAGCAGTCTAAATATGTCTGTGCAGCTGAATCTACGGCCACTCTTTACCATTTTACCAGTATTTTCTGATGTTTTCCATGTGAATACATCGGTAGGTGCTGAATATTTGATTCCTCGTCAGGAGTGAAGCAACATTCATGTAAAGTTGCTTGATACTAAAGTGCCAACGGCTCAAAAACCAGTTGTGCAAGCAGCATATGGCATCAGACATGATGTCCCCCCCCCCACAGCTTTCATGTCTTGACAGAGACAATGCAGAACAATTTTCCATTTGGTTTCAACCGTGACAAGCCATGTGAGATCTGCGTTTTTGGTCTGTTGGTTTACACGTTGCAAAAACTGTCAGTTCATGTCCGCATAAGCGGCATGTGCCGTTTTGTGTGCTGAACTTAAATTTAATGGAAAGCATGCCCACCTGGCTCAAATCAACGTGTGTCGGTGGGGTTTGGAGCCCATTAGGACAGAGTTTGGTGGCCTCACATAATTCCCCAGTTCTGTCCAATTTCAACCTGAGGAGAGGTCTAATGAGCCAAAGTAACTGAAAACACCTGCGAGTCCGTGCAAAGCCTTGCAGATTGCAAGAAACCGGTCTTACCTCTTTACAGGCTTTCATTACTGGTACATTACTATATGATATCATTATTATTATTTAGTGTTCTCCAGTCGGCTGAGCACCTTTTACTTTAATTGGCTTACAGTTACATACAACAAGACTTGAGATCCAGCACAAGTAGGACCGGCTAAGGACCCATTTAGAAAAAAATAAGAAGCACTTTCAAAAAGGCAAAACAGGACAGAAAATACATACTGCTTGGATATTGTGATTGCACAGAGCCAATTTTGGTCACAGAGCCTTTTTTTCTGGACAAGCCACCATCGTGTTAAACGTTAACCTAAACTAGTTAGAATTTTGGTTTCTGATTATATAAGTAAAGCGCATCAACAGCAATTACTCAAATTTATGAAATCCACTACTGCCTTTCAGTTACTTCAGTTTATGTTTTTTCAGATATTCACGCTTAGTGAACTAGTAAATAACTCTGGAGCATATTCACCTCAAATCACAAGCAGCGCTTCATGTGACTGCAGCATGCACGAGTGCAGCAGAAAGTGAAACTGAGCCGAGCTGCAGATCGGCTGGTTCACTACCTCCACTTCAAATCAGGAATAACAACAGATCTAACGGCTGCTATTTTTAATCGGCCAATATCACAAATCAGCCTCAAGGGGTTTTGAAGTGGCTTTTTGGTCTCTACCCAAGTTCCAAGCAATAAACAGAAATGACTGTACCTCAGAGAAGAAAGATGCATGTCCAAATAAGGACTGCAAAAACCATTTTGGTGATGATCAAAACAGAGACAGGGCAATAACGTGTCAGATATAGATAACAATTATCAAGAATTAGATTCATAAAAACACTCTAAATTACTAATTAAGGATGAAAGAGATTGTTTCATAAAACGTTAATCTAATCTTTCTTTTGCACGTAAATATGTTTTTTTAATGACATAAACAAGAAAACAAACACCGACATGTTCATGTCGGAGGTTATCCGCTGCTAAACCACAGTCCCCAATTTATTGGCAGCACTGCAAGGTATCACTGGAAATCTTTTGATACCCATGTCAATATGATACTTGAGTTTTGGTATCAAATTCAAGACGATACCATTTTAATTTCTTACTTTTCTAACAATTAACATTTATTCATTTAGCTGATGCTTTTATCCAAAGCGACTTACAATTGCTCTGGAGCAACTAGGGGTTAAGTGTCTGGCTCAGGGACACAATGGTGGATGTCTCACAGTGGGAATTGAACCCAGGTCTCCCATACCAAAGGCAGGCATCTTATCTATGCACCCCTACTACATTGGCCCCATCCACACTACTCGGTTTTAGTTTACAAACGGAGAATTAAAAGGAAAACAATCTCTGTCCACACCAGCGTTTTAGCTGCGCATCAGTGGTGATCCCGGTCTCCATCAAAACGACTGAAAACGCACATCCTGTGCCCGTTTGGGTACACTGGGCATGCGCATGCCCGTGTAAACATGAAGCAGATGGTCTATTCTGTAGTTACAAAAGATCTGACGAAAGAATAAAGAAATGCAGATGAAGAATCAGACCAGATGTTTTCTTGCATGCTCCAATAACGAGATGGGACTGTTACTGAATGTAACACGGGACTGTGGCGGCGGAAAACAAACTGGGATTCGTTGCAAAGTAAAGGTGACATGCACAGTACAAGTGAAGGCAGATGGACCTAAGTGTTATTTGCACAGTACAGAATATTTTAATAAAAATACCAACTCAGAAACTCAGTCAGTGGCACCGTGTGTCTGCTTTGCATGACTTATGAGACCCAATCAGAGAGCCGAGAGGTGCAATCGTAGCAAAAAGTCTCTGTTTTTATTAGAAAACGCAGTAGCGTGGACGGGGCCATAGGTCAATTTCTACATAACGTATAACACAAACCGCTGTACAAGAAACCCACTTAAAAACTGTTGAATAAAAGCTTTTCTTTGCATTTCTTTGACAGAAAAAAAACTCATAACCTTCAACATTACATCCACGTGTTAACACCAGACACGGCTCTCTGTATTTTAAAAACACCTCATTCGGTGCAGACTGAACCACAAGCAGCGCCACGTGTATTTCTTGCAGTGCCTGTATGCAAAGCAGCCTAACTGAAAACGTCTCTCAGCTTTAACTGATCCTGTCGGCCCCCACCTACATCAGCCCACACGTAGGTTAACTTTCACTCCAGACAACATGTGACCTGCTTTGTAAGAGGCAAACTATTTAGCACCAGGTTTCCACCTAACAAAGCTAAAATGGAGTGAAACAAAGCCATAAAAATAAAAGACACAAGTAGTAAGACACCTATAACACAAATGATCTAAGCCTAAAAAGGTTTTTTATGATTTTCTGCATCACAAAAACCTGTTTCTGGAAAATGGACACAAACCAGCATTACCCAATCAATAGTGAGATGTTTAGTTTTTTTACCTTTTGATGTTATTCCTTGAGTTTCTGTGGGACATATAGGTGAGTGTCCTGTGCAAGAATATGGGCTGAAACGTAAGGAGAGACGAAGTGTTACAATTCAACATCTACCAGGAAAATCAAACATGTTTCTCCTTATTTCAAATGGTCAAGTTAATCATGTGACTTTTTTTTATCCAAGGCAACACTCACAGCGATCAAGTTCCTGGTGCGGAGGAACCTGTAGATTTGGGTAGGTTCTACAAATAAATATGGTTACATCATTAGCACAATACTTTGTCAACAATTCATCATTTTAATCGATATTTTGAATCTTAAACAAACATCAAGCCAAACAAAAAGCACAATAAGCTCAGTCAACTTAGTGCTGAAACAATCATTCATTTAATGAATGAAACGTCCTTACTTATCAAGTAAAACTACCAAACATTTTCCTCTTAAAGACAACCTGTCTGCTTCCTAAGAATAAAACCATTATCTTCCTGCTTTTGTCCAATAAATAACCTTTTTATTTTATCTTGTAAGTTTAAACAAACAACCTGTAGCTACAACGCGTTTAATGATAAGTATGACAGCACTTCAACACTTACAAAGTGTACAGTATTAACAAGGACATGGCTCGTTATGATGATCATTTAATTATGGAGTCAGCTCTCCAGCTGCAAAATGATCCATTCCTCCAGGCACGCAGACCCTCATCTCACCACCCACATGGCCAGTGTAAAGCTTCCTGTGACCTTGAATTAAACTCCAACACTGATATCTTTAAATACACTTGATGACAGCAGCAACTCACTCTCGAAGGCCTGCAGGAACAACTCGTGGTCGGCTTGAATTAGTTGCATGTTGGGCTTCTTGGCTGCAGCCGTCGCAGAGGAGGACGGCTGGTACGACCCGTTGGCTTTTGCTCCAGAACCAAACCCCACCGGGTGGCTTCCACCTGAGGAGCTGTGCTTCTGCGGGGCCATTGAAAGAAGCTGCCCCACCACCAGATGTGAAGGGGTGTAGAAATGAAGACAGAAACTCAGGTCCTTTGTCAAATCAAAAGAGCAGCGTTTGCACAAAACCAGCGGCTCAAAACAAACACTGTTGACTCTTCATTTTAAAAGCGGATTATAGAAGTTTCAGTCTTTTGTACTTGACACCGGTGATGCTACAAGTTCATGTTTTCGTTATGGTACCGCTTAAACTGCTAACAGAGGTCCTGAAATGCGCTAAACAAGATATCAGCCGCAAGCTGACGCGGCTTACTCCTATAGCTAACTGGCTAACTTCCTTAGCTCAGCTAGCAATAGACCCGGGCTAACTGGCTAGCATTGTCCGGCACTCTGACTTCACCATTTAAGAACTAGAAATCTGAAGCTGCTACCACACGACAAGTGGTTAAAACTGAAATGGGACGCGGTTTCACGGGTTTCGATGCCATAATTTACTCGAAATTCGCATTATATCTCGTCTAGCGCCGGTTAGCAAGTTGGGTGAACGGTAATGGCAAGCAGCACAAAATAACACAGTGTCCGGTTAGGATTTTCTAAATAAATCGTGATTTAAACATAAAATTGTTAAAAACAGGTTTGACTCAGTTTTGTTTAATACAGATGCTTATATGGAAATCGAAAAAAACAATCTACATAGAAACATTTACTATATTAAACACAAGTGATCTAAAATTATAATCTTAAGTGATTTTATGCTTTTATTTTGAAAGCACTCTCTACAGCTCCGCCCAATCACCGTGCTTGTTTGTGAAATCCTGCGCTCTCATTGGTGGGAATGTTGGCCGGTTTGGTTATACGAATTGAACGCAGGAGGTGCAGGCAGAGGCACGTTTGCCGCCTACAGCACGGCGAGCCAGGTCTAAATAAGGCCAGAGACACAAAACGGTATTACAATATAATAAAATAGACCTTTCTTATTCAGGTAAAGTCCCTGATTATAATGCTGTTTATAGAAAAACAGTTTGTTATATGAATTTACTCGAATATTTTTATTATTTTTTTTTAATATAAATAATTTAAAATATAATAAAATATATAGTAATTTTAGAGACCCGCCAGTTAAAATCTAGGTCAAACGGAACCACTGATTATCATCAGCGCTATGCTGGAAAATTCGTGTCAGTATTGATTAATCATCACATTTTATGATTCAATCTTAAAATTACAAATGACTACAAAAGTGTGTACATCATGTCATTTTTTTAGATATGGACAGCCTATTCATATTTTTTTCTCCCCTATATATGTATATATTATTTTCATTATTAAAGAAAACTGACCTCTAAATAATATCACTTTATTTAGAACCACCATTTAATCAGTACATCAAACGATCTTTGTTTCTTTTCACTATGGAAATGTTTGATTTTTCATGAAGAGTATTGCTTAAATATAAAAAACATAAAATCGAAATGTTTAATGTAAAGAAAATTGACACTCAAGTTAAAAAACACAACATTACATAGTAATAATCTCTCCTGATATGGTACATGATGAGCACAGTACTGCCTGCACATGACTAAACCAGTGACCTCGAAACATAATGAGGACTAAAATAGATCATGAGCACACAGTGTTTGAACCTACACATTGCTGATATATTTCCACTGTGTTACTCGGCTGCAAACCAGAGTCAGTGGGCTTCAATGACTAAAGCAAATTAAATCAGTGATAGCGTGTCTCAGTTCAGTTTTGGTTTTGGATGCTGGGATGTCAGTCTGAAGGCATATTGTGGACAGAGGCGAGCTTAGTTTCATAGTCTTCTGAAGTACTGTGTTTATTGTCATTCTAAGTTTATTGCTTTTGTAAAAATGTATTTAGCATCTTTGTACCCCATTTGTTTGCATAACTGTCGAACTGTTCCTGATTTATGGGACACCATGTGCAATAATGAGACATCACATGCAACATCAGGGACATAACCAATGAACTTTTGACCATTATACACTTACTGTGCCATGCATAGTTTGTACTGTTTAAGGTTATATTTTGATAGCATATTTGGATTTGTACCTTACCCATTTATATTTATGATCCTTACTGTTAATGTTATATTACTGGCATTGTGTACATTTAGATTTTGCACCTCACTGATAATTGATATTCTTACATTTTGTTTATATATGCAGTCTTTCCCACTTTGTTCTGTCACTGCTGCACAACAATTTCCTTCTGAATAAGGTACTACTTTATCTTATTTTAACATAACACTGAAACAAAAAACACCCAATGGAAACAGATTTTAAAATTTAAATATTTTACGTAGGATTATTTCTTTGATAACAAAGTAGATACAGAACAGTCTTCCGTTGCAGATTAGCTATTTAACACAGAAATCAACTCATTAACCATGACAGGAAACAAAAAGGTTGTAATTAAAACACAAACAAGTGGAACAAAGTAAAGCTTGGACTTAAATTATGATTTATTATTCAAACATATTCCCTTTGATAGTGGCCATGGTAGTGGTTTGTCAAGAGTAACACACTGTAGTACATACAGTACAGTACAACCTGCCCAGATAGAACCCCAGCAAGCAGGTACAGTAGAGAAAGTGACCGATGCTTGATTAAATCATTAGACCTTTTTTTAACGCAGAAAAACTTGAAAGACAGACTGGAAACAGTGTTGTTAAAAATGTAAACATGGACAAATTAAACACACACAAAATCTGCTTTTTTAAAACACTAGCTAACATTAAATAAATAACCTACATCTCCAATCTCTTCTCCTCAGCATGAAATAAAATACAATACATTATGAACTCCTTAAGAGTGTTTTTCTGCTTATCCAGTTGTTCCAACTTGATAACCAGGATAATTACAGACCACACAAGGCATATGTTTGTTTTTAAATCTCTGCTTTGATTATAATCTTTAACAGTGAATCTGTAACAGTGCAAACAAGAAGTGCTGAATTCAGCCCAGTTTGACTACAGCCTCACACTCCCAGCAGAGCACTCGCCATGTGCCCCTGCGACATCATGGCCCGACACCAACTTTCTGGGAGTCACATGTTGGCTTCCCCAACTCATTAAAATCCATTACAGGTCACACAATTATACCCGATTTACATATGAAATTGTAGTGCTGGATAAAGTCATTGTTAATAATTTTTAAGCCTGCTGTCTCAAGATCACAATTTAATTATCACATTTTATCTAATAGTCTAAGATAAAGATGCAATTGTTCCGCTCAGCTTTGAGAGAAAGAGTTGTCTCAGATAAAAGCAGAGCAGAAATTACAGAGAACGTTACGTTATGACCGTTGTGTTACGACAAAGCAGCGGATCTTGAGGCAATCACGTTGTGATCTTGTGAGAACAGGTTAAAACTCTTAGTAGCAAACACAGTCGCACTTGGCTTCTGTACCAAATCCAGTGTTTTACATCAGAGAAAGTTGACGACAATCAGACGAGTTTTCAGAGACTGCATGCTGGTCGAGTCTTTAAAGAGCTTTGTTGCTCCGTTTAGTCGCCCATCGGTGCTCCAGACCTCATTTGGGATGTCTTGATTGTCACTGAACATGCTTGATCTTCAAGTGTAGGCAGTCATATAATCCAAATTATCATTCTGGCCAACATCAGGGTTGAGATATCATGCGACAAAACTGCATCTAGTGGGCGCTTAGGTCAACAGGGTTTCAGTGTTTTCTCCATAGTATGTAGGTCATGAGCAGGATGAGGCCCGCTGACAGGGCTGCGATCACAAACTGGTGGATGGAGAGGACGTTTTCCAGAGTGTGGATCCTCTCCTCCATGGCACTGGTGTGGAAGTAGTCATAGATGCCAGCTCCGATGCTCCATAGCGCCCACACAGCGTCCACCACCAGTGGCATGGCGAAGCCGACAGGGAGGCTCAGCTGCAGCAGATCAGAGAGGCTCTGTCAAAGACTGGAACAAGAACACAAGATTTCCATTAGGCACCGGGCAACGCTAGATTACTGTAGAAAGAAACTGTAGATTTCCCAGTTGTATTCTTGCCAGATAATTTTTACTGGCATGAGATTTAAGTCTTGGAAAAACCCCACTGTGTCAGAGACATTAGACAGAGCTTTAACCTTTGAGTAACATACAAACATTGTATTTTGTCATTTTTACCAACAGGATTATTAGTTACAGCATACTCAGCTACTTTCATTTCCTTTTGTTGTGTAAATGCTTTGTTTACCTGCTTTATATAGCAGTGGGCTGGGTGACATAAAAAATATCTAACTGCAATTGCAATTACGATATTATAGGGCATGATCATTTTTACATCATTATTCTCATTTTCAATTAAAAACAGATTTAAATGAAATGAGATAATGAAGATGTTTTCTTAAGTCTGTAGAATATGTAGGTCAGGACATCTCTGCAGCACAACAATGTTTAATTTAAAATAGTATTTTGACACAAATATCATCTTTAACAAACATTGCGCCTCCTGCGATATAAAAATTGCAGTAGGCCATATTGCAATTTTGATAAAATTTCAATTAATTGTTCAGTCCTAATATGATTTCCAAAACACTTTGATAAGGTAAATGTAAAAAAAGTTTCCTCAATAACAATATTTACAACTGACAATACATACTAGTAAGAGCAGCAATAAATACTAGTAAGAGCTCATAGTACATATCACATCAATGGGGTAAATACCTAGGGAAGGAAGTAAGAGTTAACAAGAAGTGCAATCAAAACAAGATAATTGTAGGGGATAGAAGAAGAAGAGCACAGGAAGTGGCATGTTAGAGTTTAGGAGTTAGAGGTGTTATAAGAGGAAGTGTTCTCGGAAGAGTTTTCAAGAGCTTTGTGAAGTCAGAGAGGGACGCCCCTGCTCTGATGGCGTGTGGTAGCTCGTTCCACCATCGTGGTGTCACAGATGAGAACAGCCGGAACTGGGATTGCTTTGGGTGAAGGGACGGCAGAGCCAGGCGGCGTTCGTTGGAGGAGCGTAGCGGCTGAGAAGGAACGTAAGTTTGTATTATGGAGTTTAGGTAGATGGTGCAGACCCAGTAGTCACTCTGTATGCAAACACTAGTGACTTGAATTTGATTCTGGAGGCCACGGGGAGCCAGTGGAGGTCACTGAGTAACGGAGTGACATGTGTCCTTTCGGGCTGATCAAAAACCAGACGTGCTGCTGCTGTCTGAACCATTTGTAAGGGTTTCACCGCACAAGCTGGAAGACCTGCTAGGAGGGCATTGCAATATAACAAATGTTTGTCAATAATTGTTTGCTTTAATTCATTTGAATCACGAACGAATCAGCACTTAATTGTTCTATTAAGATATTTATTTTGTTGAGGAAAAGGGACTGAAAAAACATTTACTACTCATGTTTTTTTGAAAAAACATTTGATCATAATTGTTTAAAATGTTCTACCTCAGATCTGTAAAGTGACGCAATCAAGTGTTCTGACCATAAAGAAAAGTTGAATCACACAATTAACCATCTGGTTTCTTCAGTTTTCAATCAGGAGCAAAAATCTGCCTTTAAACTTCAAAGAAATAATGATCGACAATGGTCGTGATAATTATCGATATCTAACAGTATTAAATGTTTTTATCATGATATTGATGATGATCACCCAGCCCTAGGCAAATGTATACAAAAACCACACATTAAATAATTACATTGATGTAAAATTCAATGACAAAACAAGACATCCAATAACTAATCTTTGTTTAAATTGTAATTTCATTGGAATCATGACTTCTAACAGCACATTTGTTGTTAACATGATATCAACTGACCTTCACACATTATATATATATATATATATATATACACACACACACACACACACACACACACACACACACACACACGATATAAATACTGTAAAGGTTTATTTTTAGCTGCAAGAAATCTGCCTTGAGCTTCAATTCAAATTAAGGCCCTTTATGAAGTTAAACTTTATATTATTTGATATTATTTGAGACGCCGAATTGAAGAATAGCGTGCAAGAAGTATCAATCCATGCTTTGCCAAACATTCAAACTTGTCGATCAGCTTGATCTCGATCAGTTTTATTGATTCTACATGTTTTTAATAGAAATTTAACTTACATGCGTAACACGGCTTATGTTAAATGTGTTACACTAACAAACCATAACAACTTTAATGTAACCGAACATACTTGCAACCCCACGACTAGTTCAATAAGCAGGCAAATAACGTATCTTGCACAGAAAGTATGAAGTAAGTTATCCAACAGATCCATTGCTAGCAAGCTAACGCTTTAGCTAATCTACGGGCTTGTTGTTTTCCTACCAAACTACGTTACCACTGATTTTCCACGAAGTCTTATTACTTACAGCATGAGCTACTCCCGAAATTGGCAAGTACCGTTACCGAACAATCTTCGCAATACCTGATGCATAACCATACAGGTTTCACATCATTGTATGACATAATGTAGCTGCCATGTTTCTGTTTCAGGGACAGATTGAAATCCCATCTGCTGTGAGCGACTTTGGTTACTTCCGGGTGTGTTCTCGGTCAAGATCGCCTTCTCTGCCGTATGGGGACAGAGCTGCGCCAAACTTCATATCGACTTTTGCGGTATTTAATGACTTCACCACCCACAAGCACAGGCTTAATAAAACACTTACCTAAGACATTTCACAATAACCAAGGCAGTCTTATGGGACATTCGGCGCCAAGCAATAATTCTGTCATGGTGCATTTTCATTTTAATGGGTTCACATGTCATCAGCTCCAATTTAAGCCTGTGATTGTCACTCCGGTCGACAAGAAATACATAACGTCAGCTAACACAAGAGAACACTTTCCAAAAGGGATAGAATCGTGCCTTAGGTGTAGCCTAATAGGTTTTGCTGAATGTCAGAGTGCTGTCGAGCAATATATATCATTAAAAGAACTTATTAAATTAACGTTAGTCTGTCTGCAGCTGGAAATCAAAGCGTCATAATAACAGTATATATTTTGAATGGAGTTTGGAAAACTATCCTTCCCCTCTGGACAGATAGATAGATTTACAGTTTAAACAGAAGGTAAATAACATGTCTTATATAATATTTTCACAATATATAATCCTTTAACAGTAACAGGTTTTACTATAAAATGGTATAAAGTGCCCCATTTACATTGCCAGGCGCGGTGGCCAAGTGGTAAGGCGTCGGTCTCGTAAACCGAAGATCGCGGGTTCGAACCCCGTCCGTGCCTGTCGCCAGTGACATCAACACAACAACTTTTTCGTAGACATGACTACGTTGCAGTTTATGTGTTGTGACTGAATACAACTTCTACACATATCTGTCACAGAGAAAGTTTCTCAAGTCCACAAGAGGACGTTAAAACACTCAAGGTTTTTGTAGGCTATTCAATTTATCATAGTGTGAAGATAATGATATATTACTATGCATGTTGGATATTGGTATTTATTATTTGTCACAACATCTGAGTTGCCATTCAATATAATGATAAAAATCAATTGCACCACAGTGTTTTTCTGGCCTGGTAGAAAAATCGTTGAATGACTGCAAATACTAGTTATTTTTAAGTATAAATAAGTTAATTGTAATAATTTTAAATATTAAAGTAAATTATAATTGTTTATCGATTTTTTCCTAATATTTTGAAAATGTTATTTCTTTAAAAAAATTTTTAAAAGGTCAGAGCCCCATGGCAAAAATGAGCTGCTGGAACCCTGTCAATCAACTCTGTTTCTTTCACTAGAAGAAAGATGTGCCCAACCCTAAGCCGTGTGTGACATTACCCAGAGTGTAAAAAGCTCAGCAGCCAAACTTATGAAATATCAAGATAATAATCATGGTCAATAAGGAATAAGTGTGATCAGCATACTTACCTGGGATCTGGGAATGTTACCCCAGAAACTTTGTTTCAAACAGAGACTGTTTTTATTTATATAAAGTGAAACACGAAATTTAGGCAGTAGGTGACTACATATAATGTAATTAAAAAATATATATATAAAGCTGTAAGACTATCAGGCATTCTGTGGCAATTGCTTTTAAATATTTATTCTCCTGTATATCAACTTTTCTCATTTAATGAAATCCCTGCTGAGTCAACACACATGATTTAGTCGCCCCTCCTCTTTTGTGTCTTTTGTTTGGGATGTAACCTCTTTAAAAGTGCAGACCTAGCACCTTTTCACCTCAATGATAAATCCAATTAATGGGAATTGTTGGGTCTCTGTAAACAAGAGCACAAAGAGTACGGTCTAGACCTGCTCTATATGAAAAGCACAGTGAGATAACTGTTGTTGTGAATTGGTGCTATATAAATAAAATTGAATTGATAAAGTATTTCATTTTATTTCAGTTATTAACTCTTCGACTTTAATAGCTTTTGTGTTTAAGCAGGTTTTCTGCTCATGTTCAAAACTTTCCCGGGCTGTTTCTCTTTGTTTGGTTTGTAGTTTAGCCACCCCCCCCCCGCAGCCCTGTACCCAGGATAAACAGTTGATGAGTGAGTGAGTGACTGATTTTCCACCACAACAAGCTTTTCCACCATACGTTTTTATTAATGTCATTGACATTGGTGCACAGACCTGCATTTTGATCAACAAATCATCTTCTTCATAAGCTGAATGTCATACAGGTGTATGTGGCTACATTGACTTCCATCGACTGCAGAGCTTTATAATGCGTTACTTGACATTATGACATCACCTTCATTATTGCAGCATGTCATGTCGTGTGTTAGCATTAGAGCTACAGCTCACGATTAAGAACTTGTACCTGCCCATAAATTTTGAGCTGTGTGGTTTCCCAGTCAAAAACATTTCCTCTTGTCACTCTCTTCCCTGAGAACATGTCTTGGATCGTGCTGTCTGAGAGGACAGAATCCCACAAATTAACATCATAGATCTCCCCAACAAAACTCTGTTTGGCATCAAAACCACCCAGATAAGAATCTGGATCTTGTCCGAGGAGAACCTTGCCTCCGGGCCGGACAGTGTGACCTTTCTTGTAAATTTTGGTCAAGCTTTTCCTCCCGTCCGTGAAGAGGGCCGCCGCACCTGAAATGGAGTCCCAGATGACGCAGAGGTGGGTCTGCAGGGCGCCGAGCTCAGGGACTTTGAAGAAAACCCCGTCTCCACTCAGGTAGAAGGACAATCTAAACACATACATATAAAATTCATTGTATGCATATTTCAAAACAGAGTTTAAAAGGTTTAACAAAGCAACATAAGTGAGTGTAAGTCATCATGGGAAAATGTGGTCCTGGAGACACTGTAGAGGGAACACCTATGCCAGGTGTTTATATGTCTATATTTATATGTCACTCATCGTACTCCCCCTTGTCCGGTAAGGATCCAAGGTGGAGTACACCAGGTGGAGTACACCAGGCAATGGTGGATTTGGGCTGCAGTCCCTAATCCACCAAAGCTTCTTTCTGTTTCGACTGGGGGCTCTGGTAGAGGCATTGTGGGTGGATATTAGGTGTGTTCATAGGGATGTGCACAGATGACATGTAGTGCCAGTGGAAATAAAGACACACAGGGAAAAAGCACAAGCCTGCAGTTAGCTTCCGCCTGCCGCAGGGACATGGGATATGCGTGCTGTGCTCAGCGGGGACGCAAGGTTGTCCGACACTGTAGAAGTAGATAGGACAGCAACGATTGTAGCTTGCACAGGTCCCAAGTCCAAAAAAAAGTGCCAGCTGGCGTTTGAGAGGGTAAAGCAGAACCTCTGTGGGGAGCCTCTTACACCTAACTTCTCTCTCCCTTTTGTCCTGCAGACTGATGCTTCGAACAGGGGGTTGGGGGCTGTCCTGTCCCAGCAGGTGCAGGGAATCGACCGCTCAGTACTGTACATCAGCAGGAAGCTTTTAGATTTTTAGTAAACAGTAGTACTAGTATCAGTGGTATTGATAGTAGTAGCATATTGTTCGTCGTAGTAGTAGTAGTGGCGGTGTTTGTAGAAGTACTGTTAGTAGCAGTAGCAGTCATAGTAGTAATGTTGTCTGTGGGAGTATGAGATATTTTTGTCATTAAAATGAGGAAAATTTAATGGAATGGGGTCACAAATTTGTAACTAAATCTTAAATGCAGAATATCAGCGTGTTGTTGGCTGTCAGAGTGTCTACCTGCCGTCCAGTTCACGCCACACATTCAGCTCATCATTGTCCTTAGTCCGGTAAGCAAAGAGGATGACCTCGCGCCTTCCGCTGAGCTCTGAGGCCACATTCATGCACAGAGTGAAAGCCCTCAGTTCCAGGGGTTTCTGGGGGACCATCTCAACATAGCTGGTACTGGTCTCAGTCTGGAATACCAAGGTCTTAACGGCAACACTCCCTGAGAGACAAGAAACATGTCTTGTCAACAAAATGTACACAGCAGGCAACATCAGTATGTTTGTCTGAGTTCTAAATGTTATATAATAATAACAATAAGAGCTATTTGATAGCAAATTTCATAAAACTACAAATACTAAAGAGCTTCGGTTTATTAAGAACTCGTCATCTGAGAAATGTTTTGTAGTCACTGTAAAAAATATAATTACATGAGATTAAAAATACAACATTGTGACTGAAACAATATGTATAACCCAGAATTTATATCTTGCTGCAGTATGGATTTGCTGATGTTTCCATTTCAGCAAATCTCCTATTTCATCCCTATTAATATAAATTTATATATAATAAATATATATTATTGTTATTTGACTTGAGACACTGAAAGAAAATATCTTGCTCTCTGTCTACCTGCTGGCCTAAATGTTGTTCATCTACAGATTTGGCTGCATTTATTTCTCTCCTTCTCCTGTCCATATTCTTATATCTAAAGAAAACGTCATTTAATCATGTTCATCTCTGTTTGACATATTAATTAGCACCAGAGGTATATCGGGCTGCACATAATTCATTGCATTTCACACAGTTAATGTTACACACAAAATACTGCATACAGGGATGTAGTGGTGTTTAAATGCACCTAAAGCGAGTTTTAGAGATGTAAGAAGAATTGTTTTGTTAAATCAAAAAATTTTATGTTATAAATCATCAGCAAAAATACCCTTTACGAGTTTCCAGGCTCCTTGGTAATGTTTTAAAATGTCTTGTTTTGTCAGACCAAAAGTCAAACAAATGCTAAAGATACTTTTAACCATTTTTTGCTTGAAAAATGACAAACCTTTAATCAGCTATAGAGACAGTTGTTCATCAACTCATTGATTAACCATTTAATTTGCAGACTAATGCCCTTCAATTAAAAATTAAACATTTAATTTATACTGATTCCAGTGATATGCATATGAAGACTCAAAAGAAAGATATATAATTACTGCACCGGCCACCATGGAGGTGACACAGAGGGGGAAAAGGATGGCTGAAAGTCCCATTTTGTCCTTGAAAACCTGCAGAAAATAAGACAAATTTACTTTTGAACTTTCACACATTTTCACGTAATTTTAAATTATATGCCGTGTCAGTGTTTTTTGTGTGTAGGAAGTGTTATATAAAGACATAAAAGTACAATGAAACTGTACATACCGTGCTCCTGCAAAGGTCCTGCTACAAACAGAACCTGAACAGGGTTTTTATTGTGATTCCACGAACTCCTCCTCATTACAACACACGGATATGCAAATAACAGCCTCTATAATCCTTTATATCCTATCTATTAACTTAAGATCAGATGAATCTGACTGTTTAGACAAGACTGGATCTTATCGATGTACACAAAGGGCAGACAAACAGAACTAAAGGTAAATATAAAAAAGGAGTGGTGGATAGTAACATATCTCAAGTAATGTACTTGAGTACAAATCACACAGTTTGATTGTCAATACAAATACGAAATTTTACAATCTAAACAATCAATCAAACAACAGAAGTACAATCCTGCTTTTACATTGATGCATGAATAATGATATAATATACAATAGCACAACAGTCAAAGGGGACATTTTAGTGTACTTTTAATTTAATACTGAAAGTATAAAATTATTTATTTCATTATAAAAGTACATCACAGCAATAATAAAATTTGCTGACTGTAATGTGATCCTGCCGGAACAAGATCCGGGACCGCCAAAATTGAGACGGGCACATATTGATTCAAATATTAAAACAGGTAAACTAGTAAGCTCCATTCCAAGGAAACAGTTTAATTTACACAGCTGTCTGACAGTGAGAAGCATACCTTGACCTTTGAGTTCAGCCTGATCTCTTTTGGCAGGTAGTCTTTGGTTTTTTTGCACTAACCTTCTGTTCAATTTGGGGTTGGTTACAGTTCCAAGGACCTTATATTATATTGAAACTGTTGTGACAGGAATCCAGCTGATTAAAAGGGTCAAGCCAACAATTAAAACAGTCAAAGTGTGGACAGATGAATCTACAGCAGATATACAGGACTGTTTTGGGAACGTGGATTGGAGCATGTTCAGAGAGGCCACCTAGGAGAGCCACATAAACCTTGAGGATATACGTCATCAGTGACATCATGCATCAGCAAATGTGTTGATTGTGGTGATCACTAGATAAAATCATTCCCCAAACAGAAGGCCTGGATGAAAGGAGAGGTGAGGGCTCTATCCAGAGCCAAAAAAGCTAAAGGTACTTTATTGTCACACACATGTTGCATTTAACCCATCCCTCAGGGGAGCAGCCCAGGGACCAACTCCAGATCTATGTCAGTGTCTGAAGAAACCTAATTTGTGTTTTTGATGGAAACCCACACAGACACAAGGAGAATATGCAAACTCCACACACAAAGGCTGGGGCAACTGGGGTTTGAACACACAACCTTCTTGCTGTAAGGCCATAGTGCTATCCACTGGACCACCTGCTGCTTTTTGGGCCACAGCTAGCAGTGTGAAGCTAGCTCATGCTAATCCTAGAGATGCTTGATTTCCAGCTTTGTCCAGTTGTCCCTTTATGTGTCCCTATGATATAAAAAAAATTATAATGTGGGATACTGTCCCAAAGTATCTATTCAAAAGGGCTCATATCTTTCAAATCTTACTTGTGCGCTGGACGCCATGACGAGTGAATACTGCGGTGCGCTTATGGTAGTTTGTGGTAGTCCATTCTCAAAATGTCACTGCTGAACTGCACAATAATTGGTGTCATGTGTTGTCCATAACAGCTTTTTAAACCAAACTCAGTCATTGGCATCAGTTTGTTTAATGCCAGTATCATGTATGGCGGATAGACTGCACTGAGTCATAGTTATCGTAGTGCCAACAGTTCCTGAAGGCAACATGACTGAGGAGAGTCTTCTGCCTTCTTTCTTAGGGTGTCAGTTGAAGCCACGCCCCCTCTGCAAAATCAGGGCCAAAAGTCTGAAACTGAAAAAATCGGATCTGAGACTGAAAACATAAGATTTGAAGGTGTAAAAAAATGCTTTGATTCTGAAAACATAAAAACTGGAACTGAAAAAAATAAGTCCTCAAATATCAAAATATTACCTGCGATGGACTGGCGACATGTCCAGGGTGTACCCCGCCTTTCGCCCGATGCCAGCTGGGATTGGCTCCAGACCCCCGCAACCCTGTAGGCAGGATATCAAAATGTTAAAAAATGAAAATTGATAATTTATTCAAAATAATTCCAGAATTAACATTTTATTTAAACTAAAAACAAAACAATGAAACACTTATTTTGAATATATGGTTGTATTTTTCAAGTTGAAGTTGACCAAAACTCTTTTAAATTTAATTAAAACATTTGGCCCTGATTTAGCTCCATACTCCACCACCTTAACCAACTACAACAGTAAAATCCTGCTTTTATATTAATGCATAAGTATCATAATAAGAATCATAATCTAATGATAGAATATAATCACAGGGGACATTTTTCTGCTTTGAGAACTTTTACTTTTAATACTTTAAGTACATTTTCCTCATTATACTTACCTTAACTGAAGTAACATTGTCAATGCAGTACTTTCACTTGAAATAGAGTACTTTTACAGTGTTGTATTAGTACTTTTAGATTGCTTCTGCGTGCTGTACAATTTATACACAAATTGACTCCCAAACCAAAACATACCTTTTACTTAGCAAGTACTCTTGTTGAGTATTGTTATGGCAGACAGGATAAAACTCCAGGGATCTATATCTACGTCCTGATGGTAGCAGAGTGGAAAATGTGTTGAGAGTGCTTTCCATAAAATGGCTTTTGTAGAGCAGCAGTAGAAGGTGGGGAGCAACCGAAAGAGATTTAAGTTTACAGATGGCAGAGAGTCTTTGTTGGCAGCATTTGAAAGTGTCAGTGTTATGTTGATCAAAATTCTGTTTATTGTCCAGAGTGAGTCCAAGGTATCTGAAGCACTCCACCATTTCAACAGCTACATTACTGATGCATGTAGGGTTGGGGGTGACAATATGGTCTGTGCTGTTAGAGTTGGGTGTTTTAATTTAAAACATTTCTTTTGTCTATGCAACATTCACCTGAAGATGATTATTTGAACACCACTGCATGGGGCGGTGAGAGATGGAGTCTTGATAGTTTAAGACTCCATAGATTATCTTAAAGGTTCAGTGTGTAAGTTTTAGAGGCATCTAGTGGTGAGGGTTGCAAACAGGGTTGGGGAGTAACGGATTACATGTAACGGCGTTATGTAATCAGGATACAAAAATAAAGTAACTGTATTCCGTTACAGTACAGAAAATAAAGACGTAATCAGATTACAGGTCCGATTACCCGACGGAGGCCAGTCTGACCACTGGGAACACAGTATGAAGGTGTTTTTCTTGTCAGTTTGGCTCTTGTCTTGGCTGAGTCAGCTAATGAGGCTGTGTTCGGTCCTGTTCATGTTGTGTTCACTGGGAGGCAGTTTTGTTGCCCGCTCACCCAGCGACGCTCTCCGCAATCATTCCCCGCCGGGTCCCCCCCCTGCCCTGAAAACCTCCAGTTCTTCAGTAAAGGTGTAAACCTTAAATGCACACTCTGGTGCTCTGACTTCACATTACGGGCATAGTAACCATATTTGACCAGTAACTTTAACTGAGCTAATTAATGGCAGCTAGTTAGCAGTTAGCAGAGTTGCTACAGCAACAAGTAAGTTAAAGCCATGTGTCCATCATGAAACTCCGCCAGAATTAAGGCAGAGGAGCAGGGGAACATCAGAGAGAAAACCAGATAATATTTTCCATCAAATATGATCCAGTTTCAACAAAATCAGTGAATAAAGTTGTGCTTTCGTACAATAAACTACGGAAGCCCTAAGCTGACGACTGATTCACATGCTCACAATTAAGCACGTGCTGGAGTGTTCGCATCCCAGCCATTGGTCCACATTCATCAACCTATGGACTTTTCATTTCCCCATCATTCCCAGGCAGAGGAAATTCATCCACTTCTCATTTAGGGAAATCCATTTAACTACACATTTCCTGAC